AAACAGGAGTTTGTGAATAAACTTTTTGAAACAGCAGAAAATGATACTGACTCTAGAAATGAGATTAAGTAAAGAGTGGACGTTTCAAAAAACATGGAAAAAGTTTTATGATTGGTATAATGCAAATATAATAGAAGATTAGGCAATGATAGCGCAATGGACTTGAGAACACAGAAGACAGAAGAATGGAAAGTGTTTGATATAGCGTTTTTATTAAGTAATATTAATATTAATTAAGTAATTGCATATAAGCATATAATGTAACTGCACTCTTGGTATATACGTTATGTGTAGTAGAGTGTCTGTAGTGTGTAGATTTGTTTGTTGTAGATTATTAAAAAATTGTTGTAGATTATAAAAAATTAATAAAAGTGTACCTATGGGTACTTAAAAAAAAGAAAACTGACAACCCCGAGGCCCACCAGCAGCGCCCAGCTCTGAGGCCCAGTTGTAGCCAAGCGCACCATAAGTTCACCTGATAGCTCGGGGAGCAATGGACCGATTGCTCAGATAGGGGCAGAAGCTTTACATGGGAACAACAGTCGAAAAGGGAGGTGACCGGGAGACAAGAGTTCACGCATCTTTCCCTCCACTCCTCCGCACATTAATTTTGTGGCCCGCAGGTGCCGTTCGATCTGGTGTCTGTTTACCCGGAAGTGCATCCTGCTTTGTTCAGTGGGGCTAATATTCAAGTAAGGGTATATATGTATAGGGTTGTGCTAAGGTTGCCAAGCCTGGATTAGGAAATTCATGGGATTTGGGTAGAGCCGGAGAAGGTCGGCAGGGTATAATACCATATAGTCTGCCTTCCAAAGCAGCCATTTTCTCCAGGGGAACTGGCATCCAGAGTCTGGAGGTCAGGTGTGTTTCCGGGAGGCCCTACCTGGAGGCTGTCAACCCTAGTTGTGGATACATTGTTGTCAATCCAATATTTTTCATAAAATCTAAATTAATCCAAAAAATAATAAACATACAACTAATGAAGAACTAAAAATGAAAACACAATAAAATAATTTATATGAAGGTACTTCAAGCAAATCACCTTGGTTTCTACATTAATCATCATGTGATATTTGCAGGATGCTCAGCTAAGTCAAACTAACTTTAAATACTTTTTATTATTTTACAAATTCATTGACGAAAGTAGAATGTACTAATGCAAATTAACTACAAAGTATCAAATACTAATACACCAAAATAAACAGTGATTTTATCAAATCATATATGTTGCACAAATAACATATGGTATAACCTCATCCTGAATTTATCATTCGAGTACTTGATGAGCATTAACGATGTCTATAAATCTGTTAGAGGTATTATTAGCCAGTTATTTAGATGGCACATAATATGTCAGTTTTATCATTAAAATAACTGCATAACCTTTGATACCATTTTTCAATCAGTGATGGATTTTATTTTTTCCACTTTGTTGCTATACAAAGTTTAGCTGTTCTTAGGAAGATGAGGATCATTTCCAGTCTAATTCTTCACCTTCCTTTTTAGATAATGTAATGACATTTCTTTAGATGTCATGGGTAATAAATAAATAACCTGTCATATTAAAATTCCCATTTAGTATTATCATAGACCAAAACTTTTAATCTGCGGGCAAAATATATAAGATCACCCTTGCTGGCCATACACCTCCAAAATATATCTAAGGAATATTTTAATAAAGTTTTTCCTCAAATCCATTGATATTAATCTTGACCAAACATTTCTCCAAATTCAGTCCCATTTATTTTTTAGCATCTCTTGTACAAGAGCTTTCCCCCATTTATTTTTGAAACTCTTAGCTGAACTATCTAGATTTAACATTATGTACAAGTGGGCCCCCGTGAAACTTGCAGGGGGGGATCCCCCCCCATTACTGAGCTTAGGATATAAGATTCTGTACTGTCTTGTTTTTAGATAACTAGCATGATACCATGTTCAATTTCTCCAATTTTAGTTTATTTTCCTATGATAAGCTTTGTTTTACTTCCAATGAGTCAGTTACAGTAACATGGTCTCATACAAAACAATGGCCTTTGATACTATGAGGTCTTAAATGTGTGATATCTTGAGTTGAAGAGGATCGCTGGTCTGCTAAACGTGCTTACACTTGTAATTTGGAGTTGTGTCAAAGTGAATCCATAATGTGACACCCAGACTGTTTGCAATTGCATATTTTTTACACCATTAGCCCATTTTAGCTAATTGGACTGGACTGAACTACCACTGATCCCACCTTCCTCTGATGTTCTCCAACACATGTAGGGGACTCAGGGATAGGATCTAGGACATTTTTCCCCCACTTTGTGCCAGGCTTTTGAAGGTACTCAGAAGCTACAAGGGAAATTCTAGCTACTTCTGAGTATCTCCAAAGGCCAGTGCAAAGTAAGGTAGCCTCTTCCCATGAATTCTCTACACACATCTTAAAGAACTTGGTGAAGGGGACTCTTATTGAAGTTAACTGGTGTGGTTAGTTCAGTCACCATTAGTTAGCAGAGTGCTTAAACAAGGCTACAAATGCAGGAGCATCACTCTACCAGGTTACTCAGCTTACAAAGCTACACAGAGCCACATTGCAAGTTTAGAAGAGAAATACTTCTCTATTTGAGAAGTACACTTTGGATAGGAAAGAGCAGAGATTGATAGATTACTAATTTACTAGCTAAAGGATGGAGGCAGATGGCGAGAGGCTCATCTGCCTCATGGGAGGGAGGGAGGGAGGGAGGGAGAGGAGGAGGAGGAGGAGGAAAAGGGAAGTTGATCCCTGAGAACACGATCTGCATTTCAAAGAGAACAGTGGCAGAAGACTAGATACTGGAAGAAAAGTCAGTGTGCCTGTCTAGGTGTCTAGTCTCTCTTGCCACTCAGTCTGGGGACATCACATTTGGAACCTCCAACAACTCTCAAATTCTTCTGTGTGAAGGGGATCACTTGAAAGATTTATGGTTTCTGTTGACTACCTGGTAACCATATTTGTGGACCAGTATGAATATGTTGGTGCAGAATTATTGGAAAATATGTGACAAAGGAAATACTATATTCATCAACATTTAATCGTTTGTTTAGATTTAAAATCTTTATTGTCTAGCTTAGGTGGACAGAATGCATTTTATGTACAAATGCTGTCATCCTAAACATAATTATATCCTTCTAAGTCAAGCATTTTGAAGTCAGAGGGTTTAGAAGGGTGTAATTCTGCTTGGGGCATGTGAGTTTCCTGATTCCCAAACACATATCTCTCCAATAGTAAGAATATGAACGATAAAAGCTTAACAATTGATTTTGTTATGTGATTCCACTGGGAAATCTAGCAATTGACTTTCCTATACTTTTTCTCCTCATAGTAGTAGTAGAGCATGTTTGCTTCAGAAAATGCCATATAATTTCTGTTTTAACTAATACATATCCAGGGTTCCCTCAGTGATTTAAAGTCATGTCAATTTTTCCATGGTAATTGAATGACTACAGCTTTGAAAATACAACTTTTATGCAATTGGAATTTTGGACTGGAGAATATAACTATATGCATGCAAAAGGTGGCAGGGGTCCATGTATGTCAGCTTTTGGAAAGAAAGGTGAGATATAAATAGATAATGTTTTCTGAGGCGGTGAGAAGCTTTGATTTCTCTTTAAATTTTGTTTCCCCAACATTTTGTTTAAATTGCTTAACCACTTCCCCACATCCCTTTATCTCAGTGTCTTGTCAGCCTGTCCTTTTGAAGCACACATGTTCAAAATCAGTGAATATAGATTAATCAGCTTTCTTGAGTTACTCTTTCATATACCAAAGATGTTACAATGGCCAGCTGTTAGAGAAACGGTCTTAGTGCATCATCCAGCTGCTGCCACCACTAGGCCAGGGACAACTGGGTGAGTTCTCCAGGTCTTACTTGCACTTTGTTCTTCTAGTTTTCTCTCTTGACTTCCATTGCAAGTACCAAGGATCCAAGGAGGAGTGAAAAATTAGGTAGTATGAATAGCATGCTCTACGCATGCACAGTTGCATTGCCACCTTTCATAAACCAGCTTCTGACTTCAGTCTAGCACAGCCTTGAATAAATCATGACTCAGTGGTCCGTCAGCCATGTGTGGCAACCAGCTGTCAGCCCTCTATTTCTGAAGTCCTGGGCAGGGAGCAAAATTGTGTGTGTATAAAGTGCCAAATCGTAGGGTGACCCCAGCAACAGGCTTTCAAGGCAAGAGAAGCAGAGGTGCAGAGGTGGTTCGCTACTGCGAGGAGGCTTCCTTGGTGGTCTCTGTTCCAAGTTCAGACCCTGCTTAGCTTCCGAGATCTGATGAGACCAGGCTATACACCATGCTGCCTTCCTTACCCTAGCAAAATCATAGGCCATTCTATATTGCCAGTATATTGCAGTTGGTTTGGTAGGTAAAAATTATGCAGGTCGGGTTTGGTGTGACCAATATGCACACATACACACAAACACATCTCAAGTTAGACTATGATCGGTGAAGTATTATTCTGGATTAATTACCAGTGTATGATTATAGTATATAATGAGTAGCAGCGATCCTCTTTACGTGCCGTTACCTTTTCCTCCCATCTCTTCTCTGGTCCCTCTAGCTCTTTTTTTAACCAACTGTCATTTTTAGAATTCTACAGCTTGAAGCTTCTGTATATCATGTTGCCATAGTGTCCTTACTGAAGGTCAACATAAAGTAACAGTTTACATCTTTGGTAAGTAACCAGTATTAGCTATCTGTGCTTTTAATGGTGGCTGTTACGGTTCTGGATCCAAAACTGCCACTCATCTATATTAACAGAATTTAACTCTCTTCCACGGAGGTCACTGGGCCACCTTCATGCCACTGTCGCTCTCTTTAATATAATATCACTTGCATTACGTGCTAGTTCTATATCGGACTACACAGCCTATCTGGTGAATTCACAACTTTATTTACAAAATTGATATCTGCCTTTCCGCACTTACAAGGGCCACAAAGGTGGCTAACGATTTAAAACATACTCATTTAAAACACCCTCTCAAACATACGTCATAAAAACAATTTTAAAGAATTAAAAAACAGAGTTAAAATATATACAAAACAGTTAAAATACATACAAAACATAAAAACATTTGATACTTACATGTATTCTGTCAGACAATTTCCTGATGTGTTCTGCATGTTAATTGTCGGCTTTTCCTCTCCAAAGATCGTGTTCACATCTCAAAATTTCACAAACTTTTTACTGAAAAGTAGCTATCAAAACTGTAAAAGCAATGTCAGTGTCTGGCAAACTGACTATATTAAATGTGCCATCTAAAGCAGACTGGATGTGAATGATTTTATCTGCAAAATGATTAGTAAATGAGTCACAGCAAGCAGTTTCCTGTGGGCAAGAATGGAGTAGGTCTTTACCACTTGAAAAATGTTTTCTGGATAACATTGAGTAGAAGCAGTGGTGATAAACAAACACTATCATCACCATCACAGAATAGGCCCTAAAGTGGGTTCTAGCCTGAACTCAGTTGGATTTTTACCACCATTGTTTTAGACATAATTCCCCATTGACTCATTGCTTTAAGCTCCTCGGTGAACCAAGACACAGAGTAGACTGTAAGCAGCAAGAAAGGGGTTTTAGGAGTAACTTAAGATTGCTGGGGAAAATGTCAACAACCTCAGAAATGCAGGCAATACTACTCTAATGGCAGAAAGTGAAGAGGACCTAAACAGCCTCTTGCTGAGGATGAAAGAGGAGAGTGCAAAGGTTGTCTTGAAACTCAACATTAAAAAAAACTAAGATCATGGCATCTGGCCCCATCACTCCTTGGCAAATAGAAGGAGAAGTAATGGAAGCAGTGACAGACTTCATGTTCCTGGGATCCAAGATCACTGCAGATGGTGACTGCAGCCATGAAATTAAAAGACGCCTGCTCCTTGGGAGGAAAGCGATGGCAAAGCTAGACAACATAATAAAAAGTAGAGACATCACCCTGCCAACAAAAGTCCATATAGTCAAAGCAATGGTATTCTCGGCAGTAATGTATGGCTGCAAGAGCTGGGCCGTAAGGAAGGCTAAGCGCCGAAGAATAGATGCTTTTGAATTATGGTGCTGGAGAAGACTCTTGAGAGTCCCTTGGACTGCCAGTCAATCTAAGAGCTGGCACTCTGATGACTCAATTGTTCACTTTCTTCTGTTTAATTCTAATTGCGAAATAATGGAGGCTGTTGCAAAATTTGTATATTATGCAATCAGAAGACGGGGCTTGAATAGCTAAGTGACTGATGCATCTTAGTATTTTCCCGTATTTCCATGATGTTTTGTGCTTTCATGCCAGTAAAGGTTTTGTGTGTGAATCAGTCAATCCTAAAAGAAATCAACCCTGACTGTTCCCTGGAAGGCCAGATACTGAAGCTGAAGCTCAAATACTTTGGCCACCAAATGAGAAGGGAACATTCACTGGAGAAGACCCTGATGCTGGGAATGATTGAAGGTAAAAGAAGAAGGGGACGACAAAGGATGAGATGGTTAGACAGTACTATTGATGTAACAAACATGAAATTGAGCAAACTCTGGAGGATGACGGAAGACAGGACGGCCTGGTGTGATGTGGTCCATGGGGTTGCGAAGAGTCAGACTGGACTGTGTGACTGAACGACAACAAAAGTGTAAACTTCCCAGGGACATTTATCTGTTCCAGAAAAATCTGCAAAGCCATAAAGAAACCATCCAGGTCCATCAAAGAGTTGACTAATTAAGAGGTTCTGTCACCCTTTCGAAATGATCAGGTGACTGTACATCTAAACATTACTAGATAGTGATTTAGCTATGGCAAAGGTACTACAAAGAATTCTTCCACACCATTTATTTATTTAAAGCATTTTTATGTCTCCTTTCTACCCAATTAGGGTCCACAAGGGGGTGAAAATAAAAACTTTAAAAAAATTAAACAGTTTATAAAATTCAATTAAAACACATAAATGGTAAAATATAAAATTAATCAAAACATATATATAAACAACACTAGAAGGAGGGGCAAAAACAGTTTTTTGGGGGGTATACCAGAGGGGGGGAAAAGTCTTCACCTGCTGGTAAAAGACACCAATACAGGGAACACATGAATCTCCCTGGGGAGGGAGTTCCAAAGTCTTGGTGCTCATTTCTTTGGGTGCTACTGTTATAATGGTTTGTAGAAAGAGATGGAGGGAGAATGAAAATAAATGGTCATGGGGAGCAGCTCCTGGTTCTGGCACGCAAGGCCTTCTTCCTGGCCACCTATCACCCTGCACACACTGCCTCTCAGCAGACTCTAAACTTTGCTGCTGCTTTGGAGTGTCCCTCTCCAAGCACAGACTCTCCCCCCCTGCCCCCAGACAGGCTGCCCTGCTTTCTGACCCTTCTTCTCCTTGTATACTGGGGCTAATCTCAGCCCCGGCCCCTCGCTTCTCCCACACTGCCTTCTCCCTCCCTCTGTCCAGCAGCCGGGGCCACACCCATTATGGTGGGAGAGCTCTTCCTCTTAGCCCTATCCTTGCCGGACTCTGCAGCAGTGCCTGTCACAGTGCTGCAGTGCTGGGGTGCCAGCTGGGAGGCAGGTGTGCTCTGGCTTGTGTCCCTGTCTCATGGCTTGGGCTGCACCTGAGCTGGCATTGGCAAGGGCGAAGCCGCCTGTGCTTGGCCCACTTGGCCTTTCTTGGCCCACTTGGCCACACCCTCCTCCTGCCACTTCTCTGTCTCTGGGCTGTGCAGCTGTTAGGTAAATGAGAGTCCAGCAGCTGGGGAAGGTCAGCTGCCAGGGCTAGGCCTCACAGGATTTCAGAACATTTTGTTTGAAATTATAATGCTGTTTGAAATCATAATGCCCTGAGCCGCTTGGGTAGGGTGGGATATAAATCCCAAAAATAAATAAAGGATTTAGTTGTTTCACTTACTTAAAACATGGAACATATGTTAGTTCAATAAAAACTGTTATTCTTTGTTTACATGGACCTTGAAATGTCAGATGAAGATCTATTAATGGGAATTGATAACACAGCCACTATGCATGAGCACTATGGACTAAGGGAAAAAATGGGTAAGTGCTGTAACACTGGGGAGAAGGTATAACTGTGGGTGTATGGGTTCACCTTGGAAGGACAAATCTATAGATAGCATTTAAAGACTGGATGGAGAAGGCTGACCTGGAACAACATGTATCAGAAGTGGAGGACCAGACAAGATGTGACATTTTCCCTGCGTTAGGTCTGAGTTCACCTGTCAGACAGCAGCTTCTGGGAATTAATTCACCAGGTACCCCAGGGGCCCGATTTGGATTGGGACTGTGGCACAGGGGAAGAACCAGGCCCAGAGCCAGGATTTTTAAAGTGAGGAAGCATTTAGACTTCTTAGGGGGCACTGGCTAATTGAATTAAAGGAGATTAAAGCCCCGAGATGCCGCGCTGTAGCTGCGGGCCTGGGGAGAACAGGCTTCAGCCTTCCCCCTCACACCATCACCCCCCCCCCAATGGCTCCTGTGGCCATTATTTGCCTCACTGGAGGGCTGCATGCAGGGTTCCTAGCAGCTGTCCTCTGACTGAGTTAGAGTCATGTTGGGGGAACCCTGACCTGCCTCAGAAGAAAAGTGATGTTTAGTTTAGCGTTATGGCTGGGTTGTGGGGGTGGGGAGGTGAGCCTCCTAGGGCTGCTTGTGGTCAGACTCGGAAATGACAAGGTAGGCACTGTGGCCCCCAACACTTTTTAAGAGCCATGGGCCTTGCAAGAGGACAGAGGATTCCATGAAACATACACAGTTGGGAGGGGGGGGGTCTCCAGAAATTTTAAATCAAAATGATAGGTTGTTGGGTGCTAAAGTTTGAGAGCCACTGGTCTAAAGCTTTATTTATTTATTTTTTGTATGTGTGTTACAGTGCAGTCCCGAGGAAAGTAATACCTTTCTAAGCCCATCAACATTAATGGGCTTAGAAGTGTCTGACTGTGCTTAGGATCACACTGCTGCCAGGCACCATATATAGCCTTCCATTGTTATTGCGAAGGAGTACTTGTCCAAGATGGAAAGTAATCTACTAGCAAGCGTTCATGGAAACATAGGACCAGTACTATACATCAAATACCAACATCCTGGTGGAGATTCTCCTTTAGATTCACTACCAGATGAGCGAACAAAAAATAAATCTCCACAAGAAGATACTTTACCTAGCAATAATCAGGAAAATGCTAGTGAACAGCCTCCACAGGTCCACAGAGAACATTCCGAAAAGCAACTAAAAACAAGCCATTCACATGATAGTAATCTAGGAAGATGGTCACATAAAAGATCCCAACAACTGGCAAATCTTGGTGAAGATGAAGAACCCTTTGCAGAAAGCAGTATCCGCAGAGGTAAGTGGCAACAATTTTCTTTCAAAAATTCTGTGACGAAAAGTGTACAAGGGGGGGTCTTGGTATAAGAACGTTTGAATTGGTTCATATATCACGTGAATCCATGGTTTAATTAAACTATCGTTAGTTTTTCTCAGTGTGGGTCATACCACCAACTATGATTAGGTATGCCAAACCAGGACCTGAAACAATTGTTTCAAGAGGGTTTTCAAACACAGTTATTTTTAACAATGGTTCATTGTTGTATCCTCTGTGCGGTCCCACATCAGAAAGTGCGCAAGCACAGGTGAGCTGCAGGGAACTGGTTCCTGTATTGTTCCCTTGGTAGACTTTAAATTGAAAACAGTTTGATTAATCAATTTTTTTTGTAGTAGCATATAATTTCAATCTTGTACTGTTTTTCTAGGTTTCATCAGGAAAGTGTATCTCATATTGACAATTCAGTTGGGATTAACTGTTGGTATCATTTGCTTATTCATCTATTGGTATGTATAAATTAATTACCATCGTTTTATTTACCTTTTATTTTATTGTTTTTAGTTTTATTTAATTATTTAATTACCCACTAGGTTACAAAAACCTATGTCCTATCATTTAGTCCTGATTGTATGTCTTTGCATGAAAAAGCCTTATCAAATTGCTTTAGGTTGCTTCATAGGGAATTGGTTTATCCAGTTGTGTTTGTCACAGCTACCCCAGTGTTGCACCAAATAGTTCCTGCAATGATTATATAAAAAGTAGACATGTAGCCATTTGCTGGGGAGCTGCATCAGTTAGGGATTTTAGGTGCATGTCAGCTGGGTGACCTTGGGTCAGTCATAGCTCTCTCAGAGCTGTTCTCTCAAGAGCGTTTCTCTCAGATCTCTCTCAGCCACACCTACCTCTCAGTGTGTCTGTTGTGGGAAGAGGAAGGGAAGGAGATTATAAGCCACTCTGAAATCCAACTCTTCTGCTTCTCCTCCTCCTCCTCCTCCTCCGCTTCTGCTTCTAGTGTTCACCCAAGAAAGCCCTGAAGCGGGCTTAGGCAACTCCAGCTCCAGGCATACTCCTTCTGAACACGGTCTGCTTAACTAGCATGGTAAATTGTTAAAGATAAAGTTAATCTCAATGAAATTGGCTGGTCTCTTTTTAAAAAATCTGAGAATAGTGACTATCACATCTTGTGGCAAAGAATTGTGTAAATTTATGATATATGTGAAGAAGCACTTTCTTTTTCTATATTTAGTGCCCATCAATTTAATTGGGTGTCCCCAAGTTCTACTACTACTGTGAGAGAGGAAGTAGCGTTGTACCCTCTTTTTCCTTAGCATGCGTAATTCTGTACACCTCTAGCAAGTTCTCCTTTGTTAGCTTTTTTTTTGTAAACTGAAATGTCCCAAATACCTTATCTTTGCCCTACAGGAAGGTTTTGCAACATCTTGATCATTTTTATTGCCTGTTTCTATATTTTCCCATCTCTGTAATTTCCTGAAGTTAGAACTGCACTCAGTATTTCACAATACTGCAACATTAATTTATAAATTTTACATTACAGACTTGCCGTTTAACACTTTGTCCTATGAGTGTTGAAATGAAAGTTGCTTTTTCCATGGCCAAGGCACAGATGACGTTTCCTCTGAGATGTCTGTCACAGTCACAGACATCTTCCTTGGATCATTACAAGTAGCTCATAAGAACATAAGAGAAGCCACTGTTGGATCAGAGCAATGGCCCATCCAGTCCGACACTCTGTCACACAGTGGCCAAAAGTACCAGGTGCCACCAGGAGGTCCATCAGTGGGGCCAGGACACTAGAAGCCCTCCCACTGTTGCCCCCCCCCCAGCACCAAGAAGACAGAGCATCACTTGCCCCAGACTGAGAGTTCCTATCTATACCTTGTGGCTAATAGCCACTGATGGACATCTGCTCCATATGTTTAACTAATTCCCTCTTAAAGCTGTCCATGCTTGTAGCTGCCATCACCTCATGTGGCAGTGAATTCCATGTGTTAATTACTCTTCAGATTCCATTAGTGTGTATAATGCTGAGATTTTTTTGCTTGAATGTGTATAACTTTACTGTAGGGATGTTTATAGCAATTGCCCTTGAACTGGCAGTTTTGTCCTCTGGTTACGCATGGGAAAGAAAACTTTTTTTTTTTTACTGTCACCATGCATTGGGTTGGATCTAACCAGCAGTTCCATTAGTTAAAAAGGAAGGGGGGTTGGTCCCCTTTGACCACAACAGTCTACGGTGAGAGTTACAGGATCTATGTTGACAAAAGCTGTATGTGATGGAGACTGTAATAGGGAGTGGAATTGTGCAAGAATGACAAAACAGTTGGTGGCATCCAAACCGGTATAATCTGTATTTTGGATGCGTTTTAGCAATTTTTTAACACACACCTATGTATTAGCCCCTCACGTTCTTGGGATTTTGTGCATATGTATGCATTTATTGTTTCCCTCTGTTTGGTTTGAAGCTATGTTGCATACATATAGATACATGTTTTAAGATTAGGCAATAGTCTACTAATCATTCTTAGTGATGTCTATAATAGATGTGACCTGTTCTGGGTAGCCCAGGCTAGCACAATCTCATTAGCTCTTGGAAGCTAAGCAGGGTTGGCCATGGTTAATATTTGGATGGGAGACCACCAAGGAATATCAGGATCGCTACACAGAGGCAGACAATGGCAAACCACATCTGAATGCTCTTGCCTAGCAGAGAACACTGGGAAGTGGGGCGGGTGCAGTTGTCTTCTTTGACCCAGAGGGATTGGGCAGACAGAGCTAATAAAACTCCTTAGCATGGAGGGGGAACCTCTCTTTGGCTGATTCCATCTAGGGAGAAGGAGCTCTCACACCTGAGCTTTTGCTGAGGGTTACCATTATCCTGTGGAGGCCTACCAGCCTGGACAGATTCCAAGGTAATGGTAAGTTTGTAGAACACTGTAACTTCTAAGATAAAGAGCCTGCCTTAGAATAAGATCTGCTAGTGCGTATACAGAGTGAGGGACAGAGGGACTGTATCTGTTTACACCTCTCTTTTTTATTCCTTGCTAATCTGTTGCTGTGCTGAGAGTATGTGTGTGGATATTTTCTATTTAATAAATTCTTTATCATTTTGAATTCTGGTAGTTCTTTGTATCACACAGACTTACACCGTTCAAAGATACTATTTAAAAATGGGGACCAGGAAAAGGGTGATGGTCAGTTGGCAAATTGCTTTGCAAGTGCTGTAAGTGCAAATTTGTTGAGTCTACCAATATTGCTGTAACATTCAGATTCTTAATAAGGCATATCGGTGCCTTAAGAATTGCTTTAGCAATGTGGCCCAATAAATACCTTGTTGGGCTGGTTTCTAAATAGAAACCAATTATTTTATATATTTCTATGAATGTTTTCCCCAAAACTCTCACAACGGGATCTCTCAACCAAATATGTATAAATGTAACATCCTTCTTCTTAACATTTCCAACATATATATATATCACTTCAGACACTGTAGATAATTCTCTGGGAGCACAATACCGTCTGAGAAACACCTTCAGAAAGTTTTTCTTAGACTTTACTGTTTTCAAATAGAGCCATTAGTAACACATTTTATATACAGTTGTTAAACTTTACCTAGCATTCTACATTATTTCCTAGCACAGATTAACAAATTATTATAGTATAATTTTTTGAGCCAGAACCCACTTTGTCAGATACAATGCAGATATCAAGGAGAGCATAACTGGATGTCTCTAGAGGAAGGATTTTTTCAGGAGGGTTTTTGAATTATAATACTATTGAATAGTGATTCCACTGATAGATTTTGCTATATTTATGTTTTATTTTCTACTGTTTTTCTATTTTAAAAATGTTTTTCCGATCTATTCTCTGCAACACAAAAGGGGTTGATATTATAAACAGATAAAATAAAATGACCTGTTCTCTAAACTGAGGGAATTTTTTCTTTCTGAATCTGATTTTTCTTGTTTTTGACCAGGAGATCTCTTAAAAATTGGGTACAAAGGCATCCATGGTTTTGTTATGCCCTTTTGTAAGTATACCATAATGTATATGCTCATTAAATTATATCTCTTCCTTATTGAAACTTCTGAATCTTATTTGTGTCAATAGAATACTATTTAATGTTTATTATTCATCATCACCATCAACATACTTTTACGTACTTCAGTATACTTTCAAGTAAATGTGTTTGGAAGTACAGATGTAAAATTCCTTGAAGCTTTATCTTTAACCGTGTGGGATTTTACTCTGCAAAACTGCAAGTGTTCTTTGTCTTTTTAGACCAGCAATTTTGATTCTGGCTATTACCCTTGTCTGCTGTGATCATGCCCGCAGAAAAGCTCCACTGAACTACATTTTGTTGTTAATATTTGTAAGTATATGCTGAACTTTATGTTCTGTATAAGGTACCATATCACTCAAAGCAGATTTATTATACGTGACAGGAATTTGGCCGGGATGTTCCTCCAGTGTGCAGTACTTCCTCCTTCAGATGAATGGGAGAACAAATGAGCTGTCTTACCTAATGCACAGGTGTGCCCCATTTGTTGCAAAGAGTCCAGCCTTCTGGATTTGCTGAAGCTGGAGGCTGTTTATATTCTAAATATGGTAACACAGGGCTGGAATACTCATCCTTGAACCGAGATCAGAAGAAACAGAGCAGTGTATGGGTGGGTTCGCTGCACAGAGAATTAAAACTCAGAACAACAGTTATTCTGATATCTGTAATAATGAGAATCACACAAAGGATTTTATTATTCTGATATCTGTAATAATGAGAATCGCACATTTTTTTTGCAGTTCTGTTCAATCTTCTATAACATCATTTTACAAAACTTGTCACAGCAAATCTTATAAACATTCAACCTTTAGATCCATGCCCAGGGGTCTCCCCTTTTGCTTTTCGGAGACAGGAAGGGCAGGGAAGCTTTGCAGGCTGTCAGAACACTAGAGAACTTGTTTACCATAATGGCTGTGAATCAAAAAGCCTCTGAATCAAGATTCAAACCACCCACAAGCTTGCTAAGTGGCAAGTCCAACAGACCCAAATTGGGGGGGGGGATATTTTTTGCATACCACTATTCAGAGTGAGGTGAGGTGGGGGCGGGGCACATGACGAAGCCCCGCCCTTGCTTCCGGCCGCCCCGCTTCCAGCCCTCATTCAGCCAGGAGGAGGCAGGAGAAGAGGGAAGGTAAGTTGCTTCCTCCCCGCCTCTCCCCACCCCTGCCTGGGGCCAGGGAGGGCCTTGGCGGGGCTTCCTCACACTCCTGCTGGCCTTGCAGGTCCACCGCCGGGCCCCTGATGTCAGGGGGTGTGGCATATGCTAATGAGTTATGCTAATGAGTTCCCCTAGCTCTTTTTCTACGAAATGCCCCCTGCCACTATTTGATGTTTTGATGTGTATGCAGACATGTGAATGGATGCAGAGAGAGCATTACAGAGCAAAACCCTGTCCACATTCTATGAGTTCCTACATGTATGTAATTTTTTCTATATTATTTTATAGACAATTCTTGAGGGTATGTTTCTTGGATCAATTGCAAGGTAAGTTGGTGACTAAAATTTGAAGTGGTTGCATTGATGTAATTGTGCGTTTCACAGAAACATGTATGTATTCTTGCCTTTTAGCTTCTTTGATGCTGTTGGGGTAATGTGGGCTGTTGCTGTCACAGCGTTGGTTACATTGGGGCTTTGTCTTTTTGCTCTTCAGACAAAAGTAAGTACTCACTCATAAAGTGTGCTACACTTGCATTTGAAAATGTACCTCTGGGACAATTAAGGATTAAGGCTTGGGTCTGATTCATTTATTTGTTTCCGTTGTCGTCTGCCTTTCTCCCTGAGACTCAAGCCAGATTACAGAGTGTCGATAGGATCAACAGGAGAGGGTATCCCATTTGGATTGCAGAAATCTGAATACAAGCAGGAATCTGAAACAGATCTGAAACAAAGCATAAGCATTTAAACATGACACATTAAATGATACAGAAATTACATAGTAGGAACATATTTACAGCAACAGATGGTACGTGCTAAGTACAGTATAGGCTGCAGTCCCTATCCCTTTACCAAAGCATCTTTCTGAACCATTTCATTATAGTACAGACCTATTACCTGTGTAAGACAGGAGGGCCTGGCGTGATGTGGTCCATGGGGACGCAGAGTTGGACTCGACTGTGCAACTGAACAACAACAACAACAACAACAACAACATTACCTGTGTAAAAAAGCCCTCCTAGATAATTAATTTTTGCAGAATTTGCATAAAGCTAGGACAATGAGAACCTTCTTGACCTCACTGGGCAGGCTATTCCATAAGGTGGGGGCCAAAACAGAGAATACGCTCCGGCTAGCTCCCGATAGTAACCAAGCTGCAGCGTTGTCCACCACCTGGAATCTCCAAGTTGGCTTGTGGACATATGTGGAGTGCATTACAGTAGTCTAGCCTCAAACTGCACTGTAGACTGCATACTAAACAATGCACTAGGAAATTCTTTAGTATATATAGTTGCCAGTGTAACTCTACTTAGGACTGTACTGGTAAACTCTAAACTGGAAGCCTAGATACAGTCCACATCAGTGTGGATTCCTAAGCCAGCAGTTCTTGAAATCAAAGATGATCAATTTGATAGTGCTGCATATTTTTGGGCTGCAGAAATTTTCGTATTCACTAGTCCACAGTGGGCAAGGTTAACTTTTGTGTTAGCAACTCCTGGAGCAGCTTGGTGATGCCAGTTCCCTAGTATGCCAAGTTTTAGTAAACATTTTTTTATCCTTCCTCTGTGAGAGATTTTAACTTAACTGCTTTCTCACCAGATGCTCCCATGTGGTAAATTTAACTTCTCTTCTCAAGAAAAACCACTGCTTTAGGATATAGTGGATTTTGGATACTGAAGGAGTTTTCAAAGATGCTGCTAGAATGGACTCCCTTTCTCTCCTCAGACATTTGAAGCACTCTTTGGAGTGTATATTGAGTATAAAGTGGGAAAATACATTACTTTGGCACTTAGCTTGACGGGGAATACTTGACTGAGTTGGAACAGGGATCTGTTGTGCTAGGGGCAGCATTTCCAAGGCTGTTTTTCTCTCCCCCTCCCCCCCCCGAAAATGGAGAAATGATGAAATTATCTTGGTGAATCTATATTTTGTATGAGGTCTAGAGGATTTCCCCCTTCCAGAGATCCATAATAGGGATGCCTGCCCCGATAATTATGCTTTCATATCTGTGGTTCTCTCCGCTGGTTCCTATGCAGGGGGAATGGCACCAGACACTGGCATTTGGGGGGGGGGGAAACTGTCTGTATTCATTTTCTTATTATTACAGTGACTGACTTAAAAAATTACCTTTCTGCTGAAAACTGCATTTGCCATGCTTTGTTGTTGTGGTCAGTCTGTTCCTTGTTTCTTTTCACAGAGTGAGGAAGGAGGGACTCCTGTGTAATTCTGTAGTTAATTAGGGTTAAAAACCCCATTTAATGTCATTACTTCTCATAGACAAAGTCTTCTGGGGTAACCATTTCACTTTCACTGGCGAAAGTGCTTGAAGTTAGAGCATATCAGTCTTATGGAAGGATTTTTCACTGCTGTACCTGATCACGATGTGCAGTTACATTTCCACTATATCAAGTACTGGGTGAATAAGCTGAAATAGCCTTACTTTGAAACCTGTTATTTAGTTCATTCTTTGTGACCAAATGTAATACATTGAAGGGGGGACTCCTTCGGGGGCGGGGTGGAGTGCTGATTCCCATGTATACCTTTGGGTAGAGAAATTTGTAATGCACAACCCTAGTCCGTAGTACAGAGGTACAAAGAGGTATTATAATATCTGTATGGTGAGAAGTTCTAATTCCAGTCTTGTTTCTCTCTTTAGTGGGACCTCACCATCACATCTGGAGTCCTGCTGGCTATGTTTATTGTGTTTCTCACTTCTGGAATACTTTTTGCCATCCTGCAAACCAAGGCAAGGAAAGCACTTTTACTTGTGACTTTTTGGTTGTTGCTGCATTTAAAGACCTTTGTTCTTTTCAAAGTTTGTTCTATGCTGGTCTTTTCAGACACAGACTTTTCCCCACTTAAAATCTAGGTAGGACTCAAGTAACTTTATTCTTTCGTGCCAGTCTTTATCCAAACTGCACTGTAAAAGTTTTATTCTGTTATATTGGCATCTGATTTTATAAATGAAACTGAACCCACCTTCAGTTCTGTTGAACTGCCATGAATCAAAAGGGATGGCGCTTTATAAGAGTAACAAGCAAAAAAGACACGGCCTGAGGAGGTTACAGTGTACAGTTCAATACAACGGGTGGTGGTGGGGGCAACAGGAGAGGAAGATGGGGATGAAGATAATAAAGGAAGAATATGTATTCCAGTTTAGGTTTAATTTCAGTGGCTTCAGTGTTCTGGGACGAAGCTCCAGGTATAAAGAGCAGCATAATTTAAGAGAGAGGGACAAGCTGATCAACAATGGCAGAGCATAGGTGTATAATGGTATACAGGGGTTGAAAGAAACACCAGCTGCTGTGGGGGTGGGCAACAGGGGCTAACTGTGGACTCTGTGCCCGACTTGTAAACATTCTAGGAACATCTGGATGGTTGAAGCAGGAAACAGGATACTAGACTAGATGTCTCTTTGGTCTGATTCAAGTAGGGCTCATCTTATGAGAACTGAAGTTTCTTCCTCTGGAAATGTTGAATGATAAGCATAAACAGGTAGGACAGAGGCCTAGATCATGAAGGAAGCCCAAGCAGCAAAACATCATCAGCTATATCAAAGTCAGCACATAAATTGAGGATGATTTATTTATTTTATACCCGGCCCTCCCCACGAAGCAGGCTCAGGGCGGCTTACAGAATTTGATAGATAAATAACAGTTAAAACAATCTAAAAACAGTTCAGTTAAACAAATTCAATATTGTAAAGTGCTGGCGATAATTGAGATTGTTGGTGGTAATAGTGGTGGTGGCTCCTTAGTTGAAAGCCTGATGGAAGAGCTCCATCTTACAGGCCCTGCGGAACTATAAAAGATCCCGCAGGGCCTCTGATCTCTTCTGGGAGCTCATTCCACCAGTATGGAGCTGCCACTGAGAAGGCCCTGGTGCTGGCAGTAGCCAGTCTGGCATCCTTGGGCCCTGGGAGTCTCTGGGGTATGTATGGGGAAAGGCGGTCCCTTGGGTATGTTGGACCCTGGCCATATAGGGCTTTAAAGGTAAGAACCAGCACCTTGAAGCAAATTCGGTGTGCTATTGGCAGCCAGTGCAATGTCTTCAGCACAGGTTGGATGTGCTCCCACATGGGGAGGCCCATCAAGAGCCTGGCTGCTGCATTCTGCACTAGCTGCAGCTTCTGAATTTGTGACAAAGGCAGCCCTATGTAGAGAGTGTTACAGTAGTCTAGTCTTGAGGTGACCATCATATGGAACACTGTTGCCAAGTTATTGCAGTCGAGGAAGGGAACCAACTGTCTAATCAGCCGAAGATGGTAGAAGGCTGCCTTGGCGATGGCTGCTACCTGGGCCTCCATTGTTAAGAAGGCAACCAAGAGCACTCCCATGCTCCTAACCTCTGGCACCAGCACCAGGGGCGCCCCATCAAAGGTCAGGAGTGGGATCCCTACCCCCGAACTGCCCTGGCTCAGGCACAGGACCTCCGTCTTCATCGGATTCAGTCTAAGCCAACCAGCCACGGCTTGTAACACCTGGTCCAGTTCTTCTTGTCTGGAGTTGGACCAGCCGCCCAACATCAGATAGAGTTGGGTGTCATCATTGTACTGGTGACATCCCAGCCCATGTTAAATAGCATCAGGGAGAGCACTGCCCCTTGAGGCACTCCACAATCCAGTGGGTGACTTCTGGACTGCTGTTTCCCTAGTGCCACCCTTTTGTCCCCTACCTTGGAGAAAGGAAGCGAGCCATTGCAAGGCAAGCCCCTGAATTCCTATGTCGGCGAGGTGGTGGATCAGTAACTGATAGTTGACCATGTTGAACGCCGCTGACAGGTCCAACAGCAACAGCACTGCTGATCCGCCCCGATCCAGATGCCTCCGGAGGTCATCCATGAGGGCAACCAGTGCCGTCTCCGTCCCATGATCAGGGCAAAAGCCAGACTGGAAGGGGTCTAAGATGGAAGCGTCATCCAAAAAACCTTGTAGCTAGATCACCACTGCCCTCTCTATTATTTTGCCCAAATAGGGCAAATTGGAGACCGGCTGGTAGTTGGCCAATTCAGCCGGGTCCAAAGACGTTTTCTTCAGGAGAGGGCGGACCACTGCTTCCTTAAGCACCCCAGGGAACTGTCCCTCTATGAGGGACTTGTTGATAATCTCCCTTAAGGTGCCTTGAAACCCATCGCGGCCTGCTTTAATCAGCCACGACGGGCACAGATCAAGGGAGCATGTGGTAGGGCAAACAGCTAGGAGCAATTTGTCAACTTCCTCTAGGCTGAACGGATTGAAATGATCCAAAACCTGACTAGAAGACGTGCATGGAGCCTTGAATTCACTCACTGTTTCAACTGTGGCGGGGAGGTCGCAGTGGAGCGACAAGACTTCATCTGCGAAATAGCTCAGAAATGCCTCACAGCCTATATCCAACCCCCTAGCATTTAGTCTGCCCTGTGGCAGTACAGTTATAGACCGAATTGTTCTAAATAATTGGGCTGGGCGAGAGCTCGCAGATGCAATTGTAGCCGTATAGTACTCTCTCTTTGCGGGTTTGATTGTCATCTCATAGAATCTCATAAATGTCCTATAAGATGCTCGTGTAGCTTCGTCTCGAGTGCGGTGCTCGACAAAGCAGACTTTTTAGTTTGACATTAAGAATGTTTTTAAGTATTTTGGTGATAGCAGTATTGCATGGAGGGTAGGAGCCAGATTATAGTTCAGCATAGGAGTTGCAAGTGAGAAAATAAAGACAGCAATACATTCCAGGTGAAGGTTAGCAAGGAGATCAGAGGGTAATAGAATGGCTGGAGGAATTGTGGCTCAGTGGTAGAGCATCTGCTTGGCATGCAGAAGGTCCCAGGTTCAGTCCCTGGCATCTCCAGTTAAAAGGTCCACGAACTAAGTGATGTGAAAGACCTCATCCTGAGATCCTGCAGAGCTGCTGCCAGACAGAGTAAACACGGGTGGACAAATGGTCTGATTCAGTATAAGGTAGCTTAACGTGTGACAGGATGGATAAATGGACTTACTGCGGGGTCATGTGCATTTAGGTATAGTACCTGGCATACTGTTGGCACTGAGAAAATTTGTATAGTGTTTTGAAAAGTTTTTAATACAAAAATTTACTATTGGTTTATTGGAAAGCATATGATTATTAGTGACTAAAAGGGGTCTGATGCTGTCAGATATGGGATTAATGAAAATCCTTGGTTTAATATATTACTAGCATTTTCCTGTTGTTTGAAGACAGTGTGGATCCTAAAATGCATGAACCATTTTTGCTTCTCACTAATTGTAAACTCTGCTTTTGCAGTTGCTGATAATATTATATGCTGCAGCTGGAGCTTTACTTTTTGCCATCGTAAGTCTTCTCTACTTTTTCTTCACCTTAAAGAAAATGGGAGACTGAATTTACCGGGATACTCCATACTTTTTATTTATTTGCAGCACAGAGTATTAAGGCAGAAAGAAAAAAATAGTGCCTATTCAGGGATAATTATTTTCCTCTGAACTGAATTCTGAAGAGGGCCACTGATTAAGTAGTTAAAAAATTATTTACTAACAATTGGACCAATCATTAACATTTTAAGACAAAAAGGGTTTCTAGAATGAAATCACTTCTTCTTGGTGCCAGTATGATATTAGAGATATTGAAGTCAAAGGCCAGTGCCCAGAGCTGTTTCTAAAACAAATAATTGTTTAAAAAGCTTGTCTTGCAGAAGGTTTTCACTTTCATATTTCTGGTGCTGTTGTTTCTACCAGACTCTTTTTGAGCATTAAATCTCCATTTCATACAAATTGTTACAAACTGTTATTAGAGTTAAAATAAAAAGCAGCTTCTTTTTCTCACTGAATACATTATACGGGGAGCCATCTTTTCCCATGATCCTAACGCAAAGATAAAAGCTGGCAACAGAGGTAAAGCAATGGGAAGGAGTAGGGCAGGAACACAAGTTGTCTTACAAAACTGTTTTCAGCACAAGTAACATTCACAAGTAGATATTATAAAACTGGTAGCAGATTGTGAAACTTGCATTTTTATTTTGTTTTGTGGTTCTTTTAAAGTATCTGGTGGTGGATACTCAGTTAATGCTGGGAAAGACGCACCGCTACACACTGAATCCTGATGACTACATTTTTGCAGTACTGAATGTCTACATTGACATTATCAATATGTGGCTATTCATACTACAATTTGTTGGTTTTGTGAAGTAAGAAGAATGACACATGTAGGCTGAGATGGTGCAGAAGCCCAAAGAGCATTTCTAGAAAAGAAAAGAAAATTAAAGCATCATGAAGTATGCCGAGGGAGCAACCACGGTCAGTCTACTGTAGCTAGGTATTAAAGATAGCACTAACTTAATCATATTTGTAACACAATTCTGCTGAACTTCTTGCAAATACAGTTTAAATTGGAATATCTCAGAGTTTCTGTAGTAGTGTACATGTTTGGATGTTAAAACACTTCAGTGCAATTTGAATTAATGTTTTGTAGACAGCTTCAACATTTTATTGACTACATTGTTCCAACTCTAAGGTACTTTTTCAGTTCCTCTGAGGAGATTATAACATTTGTTGACAAAGGACAGATGTTTGATCTTTGAAAAGAACTTTTTATCCTACTTTTCAATCAGAACTGACAAAAACCAATAAAAATGTTGCTCAGGAGAATTGGATCCAGAAAGTCTTTCTTTAAAAAATTTCTTCCTCCTAGCTGTCCTACGCCCCATCAATTGCCATGGAAAGCTGGAGGAATGTGGGCCCGTCTGGTGAAACCCTGCTTGTCCTCTTCTTGCCCCTACTAGTGGCAGTTGTAAGTTGGAGGGATCTCAGGTAGACCTGGATCCAACCATAGGTCAAAGCAAGAGCCCCCAAACTTTGTGAGCCTGTGGGCACCTTTGGAATTCTGCCACAGGGTGGCACAAAATGGCTACCACAGGAGGCAGGGCCAGCTACAAAATGACTGCTGCAGGAGACTGCGCCACACACAGAGGAAGTCGAAGTGCAGGGGAAAAGGCGGGTAATTTTAAAGATACACTAGGAAAGAGCCCTGTGAAATCAGCCCTGTGGTGGCAGCTGGCACAGAGACATTTTAATCTGCACAGCCAGATCTCCACTGGCCAGTCAGAAGTTGTGCTGGGCAAGTGCTGCACCTGATTCTGCCCACTTTCTAAAAACACTTGGTGGGTACCACAGCTCCCATGGGCACCATGTTGGGGACCCCTGGTTCAGAGATCCCCCTAGTGGACCGCTATCCAGACATAAGTGCACCTGTCTGTTCTTCATTAAGTTTGGTAAATATGAGCAAGTGCATGGGCAGCTGACACACTCATTCACATATGCGTACGTTATTATTATTCTCTGGCCACACAACCCAAGGATTTCGCCCAAGTATTCTTGATCAGCTGTTCAAAGCAGGAAGAGCATGGACTAAATCCACTCTCTTGTTCCCCATTCTGAACAACTGATGGCTGGTATTCCAAGAACTTAAGTAGAACACACAGTTCTGATTTCTAGACAAATAATTCCCATCCTGGCTTCTGAGAAGATCAGACGGATATGTCATCAGTCAATAATTCAGCATGTAAATTGCTCCTATTGAAAAGTGTAATGTTTGACAGAGAGGTTTTTTGTGTCCAGTATTTGATCCATGATAATTATTCCACATGTGCATTATTTGTCATAAGGTAATGGCTACGGATGTGCGAACTTGCCTAATACGTTATAAAGACAGGATGGAAATGGGCTGGAGCAGTGCTATGAGGATTAAATTAGACCCCTAGTCTTCCTGTGTTCTACAAGGTATCTATCCAAATTATTGCAGTTTAAACTGAGTTATTCAAGAATAGTTAGAATTATTACTTTTTGTCACAGTTCAGTTCTGTGATAAATACTGTCATCAATTACTTTTGCAGTAACTCTGTATAGACTGTTTACTGTGAATGTTACAGCATGTTTCAGATACATAATAGTGGGCTGGATCCACACTTCCTGGATGCAGCAGGTATTTTGGGTTCATAGGGCTGTTTTATAGCTAGCACCAGCATAGCACATGATAAAAGGGAAATGAAATCTTTAAAAAGTTTTTTTGCAAGAGCTTGCGTTAAGTGTTTGCAGAACAGTGTTAGTGGCTTAATTCCTTCTGCTAGGTATTTTAGATCCAATCTAATGTTTGCTAAAGAGATATAAAAATAATGTGACAGAATGAGTTTAAGTAATAAATGTTTAATCAAAGAATTTTACATATTATTAACAGCATTCATTTGGCCAAACATCTACATGGTTGTAATATCCTACTGTATATAAAGTGGGAATGTATCAAGTATAGACTATGAAAGTGCAAATAGCATTTTCAAGATTAGAGTATTTTTTTACATTATAAAATTAATTGGTTTACAAAATAGGCTTGCCAAACTTTCTTTCTGAATTGTAAAGTCAATTACTGGGGTGGTCTTAAATTTTAAATAAGTACCAAGAAAATACAAATTTAATATGCTAATTTCATGCTTGGAATAAAGTCAGCACAGAAACAATGGAATATACTGCACAATCTAAACCAAGTTACAGGAAAAACCAGAACCCACAAACTTCACTATCATCACAGAGAGCACTCATACATATCTTAGCTTTGCAAGACACCTTAGTGCAATACACAAAATCTGTGTAAGGACCATCCTATTTGGAAACTATAACTTAAAGAAGCTGAATGTGCGTCTCAAATTAATGTAAATATAAGACCAATTCATGTGGACAGAAACTTGAAGACCTATTTTAGGTTAGGAGGATTTAATACCAGATTACTGTTTAAAATTTTTCCAGTGTTGGGGAGGGGTTCAACATCAATACTTTCAGGACAGGGCAGTTAGAAGCGAAGCTATAAATGTCAATGGATCTACAGAATACAGTAACAGAGCAGCAGACTATTCCTTCTAAAGAAACTTTCAGAAGAAACAGGTATTTCTTTGAATTTTGGAGTAAATAATTCATATGTAATTATTTAGTATTATGAGTTACAGGGAGTGCAAGATTTCAACAATAATCTTTAAATGAAAAAGAGTTAAAACACTTTTTTCTTGTAACTCACAGTAATCAATATACATACAACCTTACTTGCTGTCGTAATACTTTACTATACACACTCAGTAATGAGAAACCTTTACATCAGACATCAGCAGATCTCTCATATCAATTCAAACGTAAAATGGAGCATTTCATTTATTTTGCTTGTATTATTCTAGGTTTTAATTATATGCAAGCAAAACAGTAATTTAAACAATTTCCTCTAGTTAAAATTACAGACTGTATCACTGTAACTTACAATGAGATTTTGATGCTTTTAAGCCAATTTAACAAGAATTTTCTTCACAGTAGGACACCACTAGGGAAGGTCTTTTCTCTCTCTTCCTTTTACATTAAACAGCAACCACACACCAAACAAATATTGTGCAATTGAAAGAATACACAGTAGTGTTTGTTATTTATATAAAAACTTTGAACACTTAGGGTATGGTGCTCCTCTGTGCAGGCACATGGAGGGACCCTTCAAAAGAGCCCTGTTTTGACCCACCCCACAGGCAGCATACCAGCAGTAGTGGGAATGGGCATTGTGTGTTTGACTCCTCCATTCACCCTTCACACGCTGCTCAAACAAGTTATGCAAGTTAGAAGTTCCACTGACAGTGCACTCCTGAACAGATTTACACCCTTCTATAACCCCTTCTATATGTGTAACTCTGCTTAGGAGTGCACTGTGACTGGAGTGGGAAGGCTGGATGGAGTTATGGGAGGCATGCAAAGACTTCCCATTACTTGGACTGCTGCTCCAGCACACATGCCAAGAGATGGAGGAGGGGGGAAACAGAGTTCTGTGAGTCCTACAGGGTGTCCTTCCTTGCTGTGCCGACACGGTGCAGAATCATACCCTATGCAATTATTTATTGTAAAGGCAAGGCCATGAGTGGTTTTTTTTATTTTTTTTTAAATGGAGGTCTTTGCAATTCATAGCACAGTAACTCCAAAAGAGATAACTGAACTTAATTAATCATTTAACTGTGGCAACTATCTGTTTGGATTAGGCAAAGGCACGGTATACATGTTGCATGTAACAAGTATTATTACACCTTTATTGTGGGACTGCCTCTAAACTTAAAGGAAATTTCATTTTTTTTATAAAATGTTACCATTAAACACAACTGCACCAACAGTGCATAGAATGCATTGTTAATTATGGAAAACAAGGAACTATGATTGCACTTCCATTAAAGTGTCTTTCAATACAGTATAGCTGCTGCTAATCAACTGTACTTCAATGTTTAAAATAACTGTTCTTAACAGCAGAATTAGGCTTAATTAACTTAAGGTACAGGTTTTATGAATGCAGTCACTATGGCAATAAATGCCAGCTAAATTTCTGAAGGGGAATGCTTTCCAGTGGTTTTTCCATCGCTAAGAATTATGGGTCAGCTTTTAAGACAGGAAAAACTGCATACTTTGTGTTGAAATTGATTTGCTATTCACAGTTTGGCACTTCTATACTGTAAATAGACATGAAAAAATCTTTGATTTGAATTAGAAAAAAAAAATCCCACTTCTTGGTTTGAAAGCAGCATTAAAGAGAAGTATCATATACTTCAATTCACACCGCTAGTTAAAGATTAGTTGGGCAAAAGGCTATGTAAAAAGCAAGGTATAAAGAAAAACGTACTGCTAAGCACAGTTTTGTTAAAAGACAGTTAGAATAAAGGAGAGGGGAAGGAGAAAATGGTTTCTTAGGATCAGTAACCCAAATGAATCTTAGTAAGCCTTTAATCCATACTTTCAAGTTAAGGATCACCCGCCTAAGGCTAAATAGATGCTGCATTGTATTAGGAATGTAGAGTACAAACTATTTATTCCTCTCTCGTCAAAGCAAACAAGATGCTGTTAAATGCAATGGAAATTCCCTGAAAGATTTGTATAATCTTTATAAGGAACTTTAAGGGAACTCCTACGTCTTCCACCTCTACATTACCAGTAAACAACTGAGCTCTCCTTACGTGGGCCAGTCTCCAGAATGCTTACGCCACATTGTGTACCTCTGGCAACTGCCTAGCCTGTCTGGCTCTGTAATCAATTTCTATGTTCAAACTTTTTTTTTTGTGGTCACACCAAATGTACATGCTCAGTCCACTCAGTTGAGGTTTGGGATGTCTGACTTGAAGCATCTCCTGAAGCGTCAACCTGGCTAGCAGACTTCCCAGCAGAGTCACCACTTTGCAGTGCCGCTTCATCGGGGAGAACAGCTCCAGCTGCAGCACTCTCTTCCGTCTGGGTGCATCTGCCTTCGTTTTTCAGTGCATCCTCAAAAAGTGCATGCTCTTCCAGAGGGTCCTGTCGCACACTGGGAATATGTGGCTGCTCTACCAAGCCTTCTTCAGTACTGGGCTGCTGTGGATCATCATCGGTTTCTGTACTTGCTGAAGGAATGAGCGCAATACTCTGAGGATTCATGTCATGGAACCAGGCCATAATGTTTCCGAGGAGGTTTTCATTTATATTGGGGTCTTGGGTACTCGAATCGGCTTCACTAGAGGTTGAATATAATCCACTTCTTGCATCACTGAAAGTATGAGAACTAAGGTGGTCGGCTGAAAAGGGATCACTGTCTGTGCTTAGTTTCATCAGACTATCACCAAGTTCTAATAGCTCTGAGCTACTTAAAGCAGCCCTTGGGTTGTCTATATTTATGGGACCAGAGTCTAACCTTGTAGGCAAAGAAGTACCTATTGCTCCTAGAGAAGCTTCATTAGTCAGAAAGTCTCTAGTTTCCTCATCAATAACCAAGCCAGATTCTTGCAATGATAACTGAATAGCAAGGAGGATATTGGGGTCGTCTTCATCCAAGGAACTCAGAGCCTATGAAAGGTTAAAAAAAAAACAACCTTCAGAACTAAAAATGCTCATGTATATATTACAATTTTATCCGTATTATTTCCAAGTTCCTTTTAAATCTAAGTTCACAGTACATTTATTCATTCATGAGAATACATATTTACAATGTTTAATTTTGCCTAATACTCTGCTTGTGAGATCCAAAGCATGCTAATTTGTAAAGATGTCCCCCTCAAATAAATGAAATTCTACATGTGTTTACAACGGAGGTGTTGACAATCATCTGCCAACAACCAGCTTAAAGTGAAAGATACAGAAGGCAGAAAGATGCAAGGTAAAGAAACAGCACAGGACAGGGCAAAGGGGAATATACCTGCAGAGAATCTTGGTTTTCAGAGCGACTGACAGGAGTATAGTCATGAAGAGATGAGCTGTGAAGGATGCTCATGGAAGCAGAACTCACCATGGAATTACCATGTCTTCTGTTACTGCCAGCGTCTTGGGTATCTGCTCAAGGGAGGGAAAAGGATTTGTTGTCACACTTTCCAAATCCACAGTTTTACTGGCATGCGTCCAGCACTCTGGCTCAGCAATGTTTGAAGCCTTCCCCTCCTTCGACGTGTAAGTGGCTCTTTGGCTGGAAGAATGGCCATTTAAGATGGAGGAAGGATCCTCTGGCCCAAAGGAAGGCTTCAGGCTGCTGACCAAAATGCCAGGATACAAGCCAATACTTCCTGCACCTGAGCCCAACTCTGCATGCTCATCAACTGAAGCATTTCAGCCCTTACAAAATACCAGGGCGAGAGGTGGGGGTGAAAATAGCGAATGTACTTCTTCTGACAGCTGATTCTCAGAATGGGGTTTTTAAAAAATGCTTAATGTGGGATGTTCGTTGTGACTACTCTGACTGCAAATATGTATTTGTCTATAATGTATGAAACCTGAGGATTAATTTCATGGCAGTATATCGTTCTTGGGGACTGTCACACTTACTTACAACTGTTGAGGGGAACACATTTTTGGTAGTTGCATAAGAAATACAAGGCTTATGTGTTCTAAGATGCTACCCATTACCAGTATAAAATACAAAACATGGCTCTTCAAATTCCCTCATTAAGGTGGTGTGAACTGGGCCTTTGAAACAGGGAAGCACTGCAGGAAGCAGGCTATGTTCTGAAAAAAGAATTTTTAAGCTAGTTGGCAGTGACAGACTTTGTCTTCATAATTATTTTGAGGGGTTTTTGGTTTTTTTGCTTATGTTACCTTATTCTGCTTTGTTATTTTAAATAGTGATATGGAGTCAGGTGTATACATGAGTCTGGCAACAAGCTATGTCACTACTTGTTGCCAGACTCATGTACACACCTGGCTCCATCCCTACGCCCTTCTTCCACAAATAATGGCAGTTAGAAGCTAACATTGGTTACCTATGACGCGGGTATGCTGGATAAACTAAACAGAGTTAATTTGTCCCCTACAAACTCAGATTCTAAACTCAATCTGCATGGCTATTACTTCACAGAAATTCCATGACCCCAGCCACTGTCACCACCTTTTGCTTTCAACACTGTTTGGGTAAACTCCGTTATTCTTCTGGGCTCCACAGTCAACCTCAGACAGACTAAAATTATTCCAGAAATATTTTATTTCCCTCTCCAGTGCAATGCTAAGCAGAGTTATTATACCCTTCTATACCCACTGACTTCAGTGGACCTAGGAGGATGTAACTGCACTGCAAATCACTTCCTATTAGGTTACATTTGGCCATTTGCAACTTCATAGAGTTTCCCCCTTGGTAATCAAATATTAAAGTTGTTTTCGGTTGCCCCAGAAGATCAGACCAGAACCAATGGGTTGAAATTAAATCAAAATAATTTTTGGCTAAACATTAGGAAGAACTTCCTGACAGTTGGAGCGGTTCCACAGTGGAACAGGCTTCCTTGGGAGGCTCTCCTTCTTTGGAGGTTTTCAAACAGAGGCTAGATGGCCATCTGACAGCAATGCTGATTCTGTGAACTTGGGCAGATCATGAGAGGGAAGGCAGAGAGGATTGCATCAGTGCTTAGTTCTTCTGGCCCTTTCTTACACTCCCAGGGAAATGCTGATTGACACTTTGGGATCAGGAAGCAATCTTTCTCCAGGCTAGTTTGTCCAGAGATCCTGGAGGTTTTTTGTCATCTTCTAGGCGTGGAACAGGGGTCACTTGGGGGTGGGGGGGAGGTATTTGTGACTTTCCTGCATTGTGCAGGGGGTTGGACTAGATGACCCTGGAGGTTCCTTCTATGATTCTATGAAGGATTATTTGCTGGCAGAAGCCTCTATCTTGACTGCTTTTCTCTGTAAATCAAGAAATAGCCACTGTGCACAGCAGGGGGAGGAAGAACATTCTGTGCAAGATCTTACCTAGCGTGCTTTCACTAGGGTCATCTGGGTCCGCAGCATTACTAAGCAGGCTGTGCATATCTCCACGCCGACGCTGTCTGTGCCTCCTCCGATACTGAAATTCAGCATATTCCTGCATAAACCAAAGGTTACAAAATACAGGGGAGCATGCAATAATAATTCTGGGCATCACAACAGCACATTTAAAGAAAAAAGACTGCTTGTGATTTTATGCATTATAAAATCACCTATTTTCATTAACAAAAAAACAAACCACAACCCAGCAGTCTATACCATGCAAGCATTTTTTAAAAATAAAAAATATACACGATAGCCCCAAGCACACAGAGCTACTAAATTAACAGCTTAGCTAACCTAACAAGGCTTTCTACTGTTCTTTGACTTCTTGCAATCTGTTTTGTTTGGATACTTTTTCACACAGTAATGTCATCTGATACTCATGAACCCTTACTTTACATTGTAAAAATAAATGGCGTGAAGCAGAAGTGCCTGGTATGTGTCTTTTGCAAAAATTAAAATACCGAACAAATATTACCCAATTCCAAGATTTACAATCTTCTGCATAAATCATGATTGTTTTGTTCAGAGTATCATAAACATATCTGACAAGTTTTGTTTTCCCAAACTGTAAGTCTCGGTTAACTCTTTATAGTGTAATCACTGTCACCCTTCACTAGCAAACATAACTGATATACAAACTAACTTTCAGTTTGTAACATGTACAAAAACTTTAGTTTGCTTGCTTATGTGCAAAAACTGAGAGTGCCTCACTCAAAATCTGCAGGATGTAACAGCAGTTGATTGAGGTCTCACTTGGTACACGACTCTCGTTTTGACTACAAGAGGCTGGACTCATGGCCCTGGTGAAAAGTTGTACCATAACCTTCAACTGGGCAGCTGTCAACAGAATGGCATGTGTGTGTGTGTGTGTGTATAAAAACATACAGCAGGCCAAAGAAATCCTCCTCCACATGTATACCGACAGGAATAAAATAAATCTCATGTCAGTTCAGAGTGCTGTTTCTGTGGAAATGTCATATTTAATTTTAGGATTTATTAGCGAAGAGAGACTGCGAATAGAACAAAAATACTGTAATATCTTTATGTAAATATCAGGGGTTAAATCCTACGTGGGAGGGAAGGTGGCATGGTATTGCCCAATCTTGATGGATTTCAGAAGCTAAGCAGGGTCAGTTCTTGGAAGGGAGCTTCGCTCTATCTCCCCCTCTTTTCTCTTGTATGCATTAAACTTTTGTTATTGCTAAAAAAAAAAAAAGTTCTTGGAAGGGAGACCACCAAGGAAGACTCTGCAGAGGAAGGCAAAGGCAAACCACTTCTGCTTCTCACTTGCCTTGAAAGCCCCTTGCTGGGATTGCCATAAATCAGTTGCAACTTGACAGCACATACATACCTAAATCTTAAGGCAGTTCTATTTATGAAAGGGATAATGTATCTGTGATATCCACAAATTTGCTATTCACAGTGCAGGCCCCCTAACTCAGGACTGCATCCTACACTATTTCCAACAGTCCCCCAACTTGTGGGGGGGGGCGGCAGGGGGAGACATTCCTTTTGTAAACAGAGCTTACATGTTTTAGGATCCAGGCCAAGATGTCTACATTTTGAATACATGATACTAATCAGGTGGTCACATTTCCATAAGGGTAATGGAGAAGGAACTAGCAACAGTTCAGCCAATCTTATCACTTCATACTGTCCCTCTAAACCTCCGAGCCCAACAGATGATACCAAATAGGACTGTCTAAAGAACAGCAGAACCTGATCCACTTTGCACAAGGAAGTCATGTCACCATCTAGCACAACGCTGCCATAACACTCAAAAAGGGAAAAGCATCTAATTAAAATAGCTTACATCCTAAAGAACCAAAATAGTAGCAAATGCCTCTAATATCTGCATTATTTGCATATAAGCGCATGTTGCTCATCCCTTTTTAATAATTAAAATGTTTATAATAAAACATTCAATTATTGGGAACAAAGCATTATGAGGAGAACTGGGCAAAAGCAAGCCAGCCAATTTGCCTCTAAGAAGCAACTATACTTCTGGACGCATAGCACTATTCAGCAACAATAGAAAAGGAAATATACAGTAAAGCATATTATAAAATATGGGCAATAATCCAGTAAGTTTAATTAATGCAAAAAGATCAAAATCCATAAAGAAACACTGAAGTAATATCTGCCTTCTTATCACACCACAAGAAGAAGAAAGAAGAGACTGGACTTATACCCTGCCTTAACTCAGAGTGGCTTACAATCTCCTTTCCATTCCCCGCCCCACAACAGACACCATGTGAGGTAGTTGGGGCTGAGAGAGCTCTTTCAAGAACTGCTTGTGAGAGAACAGTTCTGAAAGAACTTGTGACTGACCCAAGGTCACACCAGCAGCTTCATATGGAGAAGTGGGGAATCAAACCTGGTTCTCCCAGATTATTGTCCGCGCTCTTAACTACTACACCAAACTGGCACTCAAAGTTCATAATGCCATGTATATGCTTCATGATACTGTTTCATTTTGTGTGGCTGCGCTTACTTTCTTTTTGTCTATTCTTCCCTTAGCCTGGGTAAATGGATTGTCTCAGCTGAGGAGTGAAGTTTGCTTCTCTGTCTTCCTAGCCTTTACTTAACCCTTATCTCTGGAAAGCTGTGTTATCCTGGAACAGTGCAATCAACTCCTGCCTGTAAATGCCAACAATGACTGGTGCTGCAAAGTAAAACATGGCTGCACTTACCTGTAACTGTTGCTCATCAAGTGTTCTTCTATGCAGGCACACATGGGAACTGCACAGGTGCAGGCCAGCTGTAAACATTCTAAGGTTCTTGACAGTGTAGGGCCTTTTCATGCAGTTTCCCACCCAAAATGTGTCTATAAAAAGGAAGAGAGCACCTCCCTCCTTCAGTTCATAGATACCACCACTGGAGAAGGTACTACTAAAAAAAGACCAGAGAGCTCACAGCAGGGAAAGGAGGGAGGATTGTGTGCAGAGAAGAACACCTGATGTCCTTCATCAAGAACACCTGATGCTCTCATTGTCGCTCTCTTCTGTTCAGTCTTGCTAGAGACTAGCAAGAAACTTACCTAGAATGTGAGTGTGGAGCTCCTAATGGAAAAGACAGCAGATGTTGGATACAGAACCTCTGTAGTTCTCCTAAGGTGAATGCCTTAAAGCATCTGCCAGCATATTGTCCCTTCCTGCTATGTGGATGGCCTGGAAACCCACCTTGTGTTTCACTGTTCACTCCCAAATGCAAAAAGCTTCCTGGCATAGTGCCGAAGAGACCCATGCCTCCCCCCCCTCCCGCCACTGAGGAGAGGGAGACAAGCTGTTAAAGCATAACTCATGGCCCCTAGTTTGAGGACATTTATGTGGAGATTGCCTTTGTGTGGAAACCATAGTACAAAACCTTGCTGAGACTGTAGGCGCTTTTGGAATTCTGACACAGAGCGGTGGGCACAGCCACCAAGTGTCTACTGCAAGTGGTGAAACAAATGACAAAATGGCTGCCACAAGAGGTGGCACCAACCCCAGAGCATCAGGGCACACAGGGTCGGCCCGAGGTGTTTCTGCGCCCTAGGCGAGGCACAGATGCCAACCTTCTGGTGGGGCCTGGAGACATATGGGGGGAAGGGAAACAGGGGGGTCCTTTGGTTTCAAGCTCTTGGGGCGCATCTGCTGTGCGGCCTGGCACTCGGCTGGGCAGCCCCTTACGCTCTCTCCTGCAGCAAATAAGAAGGCCTCCTCCTCCAAGCCGAGCTGCCCACTGGAAAGGGCAGCGCAGGGCAGGCGGGTCCTCCCTGAAGCAGGCAGGGCTGTTGGGTCACCCCCGGACCTAACTCCCCTCAGCCTGGCAGCCGCCCGCCCCTGCAGACAAGGTTGGCCGCCCGCCCGGTGTGAGGCTTGCTTGCCATCGGGTCCTACAGGCGCAGAGCCCAGCCTGCTGCAGTGGACAGGCAGGTCCAGCTGGGTGAGAGAAGAGCCGGCCGGAGAAACTGTGCCGGGAGCGGCCAGAAGTCAGTGGGCTCGGCTTCCCTCGGAGCTCTGGCTCAGGAGAGGCCCTGCTGGCCCCGAATCCCACTCCCCTGGGAAGAGTCAGGCCAGGGAGAGGGCAGGGCTGGCTCCCCTGCAGGAGCCCCATTCGGTCGCAGTCGCGGCAGGGCTGGCTTGAGTCTCACGGACACCCAGCAGAGGCAGGGAGGGCTTCTGGAAGCACCTGTGAGGAGGGCGGTGGGCACCCCCCTGCACTTCCTTCCTGGCGGTGTTCCCGGAATCCTCCAGGGATCAACCCAGTTCCCCCACGGGATCTTTGGGGCGAGGCCCGGAGGAGGGTTCCTGCTCTTTTCTCCTGGCGCCCAGATTGGCGCAGTCCACCGTCCAGCCGGGCAGAGAAGTCACCCAGAAGGGCCAGGCCACTTCTCCCCTGCCCCTGCCTGGCTACGGGGAAGCTGCTGCGGCAGCTGGCGGCGCTCGGGGACGGGGGACGTGGGCATGGCTGGCTGGTTGCTCACCTAGAAGGTCAGAGCAGAAGAGGCATATACTTTTCAACTCAAAATACCAAACTTTCTGTCCTCCCTATCAAGGGGAGCATAGTAAGCAGAGCCTTTATGGGAATCTTCCCCCTGCAATGACAGTTTGGTGTAGTGGTTAGGAGCATGGACTCTAATCTCAGAGAGCAGCATTTGATTCCCCACTCCTCCACATGTAGCTGCTGGTGTAACCTTGGGTCAGTTCTCTCTCAGAGCTGTTCTGGAAAGAGCAGTTCTCAAAAGAGCTCTCTCAGGCCCACCCACCTCATAGGGTGTCTGTTGTGGGGAGGGGAAAGGAAAGGAGTTTGTAAACTGCTCTGAGTCTCCTTCAGGTAGTGAAGGGCGGGGTATAAATCCAATCTCTTCTCTTCTTCTCAGTCACCATTGAATTTGTGGTAGGACAAGTGAAAAGGAAAACTGAACCCTCCTGCCAGGTTTTGCATATATTTTTCAGCCTTTTATGCACTAGCTGGGACTGATGCTGGTCTGGTCCAAATATCCTTTGTGATATCAAGCGTTCCTAAGCATCACTGGGAAGGCCACTGATCCCACAGCCAGTGCAGGACTTTAAAGACTAGATCAGCATAAGCAGGAGTGAATCAAGTCACCTCTATCTCCAGGGGCTTAGCTATGCACACCAATTATTCAGTGTACTGTTGAAATTTCTCACTTGAAGAGACAATGGTGTCTTCAGTGACCACTTCCAAAGGAGATGGTTTGGAGGCAGTATCTGAATCAGACTTGGACCCCTGGTTGCCCTTGACCCATGGCTCTTGGTCACCTGCAGCTTTGTCTGACTTTCTTTTGAGTCACAGACGCTGGTTGACATTTGGATCTTGGTTCCAAGTGGGAAGGAGGACGGTTATCATAACTGGAATGGTAGAAGTAATGATAGTATGGGTAATGATAGGGGGAACCTTCATACCCATAAAAGAGTGAAAAGGAGTTTTGTAAAAAGTGTATTGCAACCACTGATGATGCTGACAATCATCACAGTAATGAGTGCACTCATTATTCTACAAGGCACACACTCAGGGTGCTACAAGAACAGATCAAGGTGCAGTAAGCAAAGTAAACCACCCACAGCATATCTGGCCTTTGAAGACACTTCTTGACTCTGTAAAGCTCCGGTAAAAGGAGGCAACAGCAAGACCAAACTGAAGGGTTCCAGCATTTCAGGTATTTCATCTTTGAAAAAAGAGACACGCAAGTAATTCTTCTGATGAGGAGTAGGCTACAGGGTTTTCAGAGCCAACAGTGGATCCAAGACATCTGCTGGAACCGTTAGAGTGGAAGACTTTTTCTTATGAGAGGATTTAAACGTTAAGAAAGAGACTGTTGCAGGCTTCTTGAGGTGCCTTGTCTTCATCTTGGCCTTCGTTAGTGGAGACTCTGAATGACTTTGAGGAGAAAAATGCAATTGTGGGACTGAAGCTGCAGCTGGAACTTGTAGTAGTAGCAGTCAGAATTGGTGGCACTGAGGAGGCATGCTTGAGCCTTTCAGGGCAGTTTCCCCATAAAATGGCTTTAAGATGAGGAGAAGAAGAAGGAAGAAGGAGAAGAGGAGATTGGATTTATACTCCGCCCTTCACTTGGAGTCTCAGAGCGGCTTACAAACTCCTTTCCTTTCCCCTCCCCACAACAGACACCCTGTGAGGTAGGTGGGGCTGAGAGAGATCCTTCAAAAACTGCCCTTTCAAGGACAGCTCTGACAGAACTATGGCTTGCCCAAGGTCATCCAGCAGGTGCAAGTGGAGGAGTGGGGAATCAAACCTGATTCTCCCAGATTAGAGTCTGTGCACTTAACCACTACACCAAACTGGCTCTCATTACGAGACTTCAGTGTAAACTGTTTTCAGACTGAACACCCTATGCTGTCATGTGTCCTGCGAGACAAAGGAAGCAAGAGTTGTGTAAATCCAACTGGGCCATCTTGGTTCCACAGCAGAAACACCTTAAATCAGGTATCTGAAGCCATCAGGTGTCAAATCACCAGAGGGTGAGTTTACAGAGGCAACAAGCCATGAAATCTTCTTTGGAATCAAGTCAGGGACCGATGAGTACAGACTGAAATGTCCTTCTTCAGCAGCAGCAAAAGAAGAACTAAGAGAGGTGCTCTCCTCCCTTGGATAGGCACACTGGGCAGGAAACAGCGTCAAAAGGGGAGGAGAATGCCTCATGCTGTCAGGAGCTTCTTCAGAATGTCCGTGACTGGTGTGTGCGTGTCGAGTTCCCATGTGGGACTGCACAGAAGACATGATGATCAACACGAGTCCACAGCAGCAAACTCAAGGCAAAACAATAATTCTTCAAAACATCACAAAGCAGTTGAGGAAAACTATCTCATGCCACTCAGTTTCTTTGAAATCAGAGGCACAGATGGAGATGGCATACAAAATTAACCTCTTCAGTCTGGTACAGTTTCAACAGTATGTCTGCTGAGCTGCTGTACTAAGTTCTCTACTCCATGTCTTGTAGCCCACAGCAAATCACACTAGACAGGGGTAAAGCTGTGAGATGCCACTGTGGACAATGGCATTGCTACAAGTATAATCCCACACGCAGCCACGTTCACATTTCATTGAAATGTAAGACACAAATGGGAAATACGGTATAGCTAATGTAAGGGAAGTAACAAGGAAAGAAGCAGGAATATAGCCCCTGCATCGGATTAGTTCCAAAGCTCAGAGCTGATTGTGGGCCCCGAGCTAGGAGCCGGGTCAAGAGGAGGAGGAGCAGCAGCAGCGGCTTAAATGTTGGCAAGGATTCCATGCCTATGACACCCTGTGAGCGGCTTTCCTTCCTTGATAACAAGCAGCACGGGAGAGAGCTTGCTTTTTAAGAGATGGAACATTTCCACCCACTTATCATATCCAGATCCTGACTTGGGTAGCCCAGGCTAGACTGATCTCGGAAGCTAAGCAAAGTCGGTCCTGGCCAGTATTTGGATGGGAGACCTCCAAGGAATACCAGGGGCTTGATGCAGAGGCAGGCAATGCAAACCACTGCTGAATGTCTCTTGCCTTGAAAACCGTACGAGGTCACCATAAGTCAGCTGTGTCTTGACGGCACTTTCCACCACCATCATACCCAAACTGCTGCTCTAGCTGTGGCTGTGTTTGTTCAACCACAGTTAAAGCAAGCTGAAGGAAAAGAATGCCAGACTTTGAGCCCACTGGAGGCAGAGATTTATTTCTTACATACTCACCCTAAATGAACAGTGTATGAAAATATATATATATATTTCCTTCTATTGTTAAGCAGCAAAAATAGAAATAGTATGGACCAACATTAGGAAGCTATTCATGCAAAGTTAGAATACATAATTTCCATCATATGCAAATTTGCATAATTAAAATTCACAAAAAAATTACCTCAGGGGATGCAAATCCTAAATATTCCCAATCCCATGTTCCTCCAGCAAAGCTATAAATTAAACAGATTTTGATATTTAAGAACAGAATCCAAGGAAAACTAGCCAGCAAAGTGAGAATGAAACACTTAAATGTTAAGTTATTAATGTCCTAATCTTACTACTTTAAAAAGCACAAAGAGAACTACAAAATTAATCAAAATGCTGGAATTGCTAGCAAATTTTTAAACAAGACCCACAATTCATAAACATTTCATTGATGCATCACAATAAGGATAATGAACAGTCTAATAATTCAGATTTATGTTGATTAACTTGATATTCATTACATAGTACAGCAAGTGCTTCATCAGCAGGCACTCTTGGGGCATGAGGCTGCTGGTTAATCGAGTGTGCTGGATCATCCAGTGTATTGCTTTGCTCCACCCCCTACAAAGAGGAACTCACAGCAACCAAACTCCATCCCACTGGAAACCCCAGGGTGACTGGCAAGGCCCTTCCCCTCAAGCCACAGCTGGCCTGGAGTCTTCCAGGAGAGCTGGACTCTGACAGCTTGAGGCAGACGAAGGGGGAAAGACATAGCTGAAGTTGCCATCAGTTGGCAGCACTGGCTCTCAGTAACCCAACAGAGGCCGGAGGCATTAAGCCATCTGGCTGGTGAGGCTAGAGTGGGCACACGCATGCCCAAAGGTGCAGTGGTATAGTAAAGGATAGAAGCTTGCCCCCTGGGAAATGCTGATTAATTGAGCGTTCTGGATAATCAAATGCTGCACACTATCCAGGCCCTGGGTTTTCATGCAGCATTTGCCTTGATGAAAAATCGTATAAAAATCAAACGATCACCAAAGTTCTGCCTTTAGAGCATGCCGCACCTGTTCATCCCATTTTTTTTCGTATTCCACCTCCAAAATCTCTTCCCTCCTATACCTATCTGTTGTGTTTACCTTATTCAGAATGAATCTGCCCCTGTCCCTTAGGTAAGATCGACACGATAGCACATATCTTTCTGGAGTGTCCTTTGTATGCTAATCTCAGGAGGAATTATATTTTACTGTGTTTGCAAATTCATTCGGACATATATTCCTATTACTTAGTTATCTTTTTACTTTCTGACAGGGATCCAGAAAGAATTCTAGTAGTTGCAATTTTTTTTTACTCCTTTTGTCTATTGAGTGATAAGTGAATAAAAGGAAAGTGCTGAATAAAGATTTTACTGTATTATACTGTATATTGGACCAAAAGACTAGCAGAAAGAAACAGCATCAACAGAAGATCACAACTTCTCTTCAGCTACTCTGCCTGAGCCCCTGTGAAAGGTATGCAATTCATTTCAACTGGTCTTACATTCTATTACTGTCTCCATAGCTTTTAGGGAACATCCAGCTTTATGACCACTAACCTAACACATTTTACTGTAATTTTAATTGGATACAAAAATGTTTTTTAAAGTAAAATGAATAGATGAAGCATTTGCTTTCCTGAACTAGTTCAACAAATACCACATTATGTCAAATATTTTATAGCTCTTCAGTACAAAACTATTAGATGTCTACCTGCTCTAGCAAATGAGAGTTTACAAGGAAGGCTTACCAAGCTTGTGGCCACGAAGTGAGCTTCTCTGAGCATGCAAATCTGTATTATGATTAGGTTACCTGCGCCTTGGAGCTTCAGGAGAATCTGCAGGAGCAACTCCACGGGCCACAGATGCCAAAAACTCTTGCCTCTTCTGCTGTACAAGGCAGGCCGCCCGAATAATTTTATGACGAGGAGTGCGAAGGTAAGGCCTGTTTACTTTCTGAGCAAGATCCTCTGTGACCATTTCAAGGTCTGTCTGTAATTTTAAAAAACCCAAAAACCTCTGTGTCAAATCTTTATAGGCTAAACAAGAATAATTTCTGGCAGCTCCCAACATGGTCCACAAAATGTAGCTTGCTGTCAGACAATGATGGCAAGTGCAGACAGAGATGCACAACTGCTTCCTAAGCTCTAGCCAGCTTTGCAATGTCCTCCTCTGGCATGACAAAGTAGCAACTAAGAGTTCTTGAAAAGAAATAACAACTCATTTTTATCAACTGTCCATTGAGTAGCTATGGCAAAAATGAAGTTACTTTAGGAAAACTTTAAGATGCTTCATTTTCTTTTCCAAGTACTGTGCTATAATTCTTTTCCCCGGTCAATATAATCTGAAAAAACTTTAACATACATCTGGTACAGAGTTTACCTATTGTCTGAACACCAGTGCTTGAAGCAACAACAAAAGGAAGTTCTGGCCTCCCCGTGCCTGCTTGTAGGTCTTCCATGGGCATCTGATTTCTCAAAAAGAATGCTGAATTAGATGAACCATGGGTCTAATCTAATATGGACCTTTTTATGACAGCTGATCATAGAAAAAAATTGTTTTGCGATTAAAATTGAGAACTAGGTGCCATAGTTTAGCATATGTAAAGTCACAGTACTCCAGCAGCTCTAGTGAGGGCTGATCTTGGGTTACCTTCCATTAGAGGCCATTTGCACCTGGCCTTATCTAGATTTTGAAGAAAGCAATGGAATCTCTCCACTAGTCCTCTTCTGAGGGAGAAAAATGCACTGCTTCATTCAGATGCTATTTGCATAGCTGACTTCAACACTATCCTCCGTCATTATTCTCTGGTAGATGACTTTTGGGGTGTCCCCTTGACCAGTCTCAATATACAAGAGGATCTTTAAGATCGATGCTGTGCTGGATGGAAGTACAATTATCTGCTCCATATTTTCTCCTTGGTAGATGTTGTTTAAAAGGGACCATAGCAAAGCATCTTATTTGAGCCAAATCACCTTTCCCATTCTTAGAATGGCTTTAACTTTTTTTTCAGGTTTCAACCCATACTTTCAGCCACTCTATTCACAAATACCGATTGCTGCTTGTTTTTGTATTTGTGGAGCCTTCGTCCTTAAAGACTTTTCACACGACATTCTGTTCTGTCCTTTGTATACAGAGCCCAGAAACAAATTCAGTGGAGAAATTTTAAAAGGCCTAGTATTTTTCCCCCTGCGGTGAAAACACTATCCTTCCCTCCTTCTGATGTGGGTGTGTATGTCTCTTACAGAGTAGCACTGTCCTCCCTGGCAGATAAGAAAATTCAGGCTCAAGCTGTGCTTAATGGCTGAGGCTCCATCAGTATGCAATGAAGGTCCTAATCTGTTGATTACGTGTTTTAAACAAAATAGCTTTGTTGTTCTTTATCCATGTTTTACTTGTATGTTTTATCTGTTCAATTCTGATGGTCTGTGGCCATATACAACAAACACACTTGAATTAGCATCCCACTGTAACAACAATCATTGGTAGGCATTTTATGACCCTTAGAAAGGATGACAACACAAAATACTAGAGACACAATCCAGCCAACATTAAGAACCATTTATGTACGTGCTTAACTCTCTTTCACTGAGAATGGGACCTCATGGCTCTTGCAGGTGCTTCCACTCTACCATGTGGGGTGTGGAATTTAGCCCGATGGTTCAAGTCCCAAGTTGCAAGACCTCTGTGAGGATTCACCTCTCTTTTTTTCATCATCCCCAACTGAAACTGCTGCCACAGGCTTGTAGGGATATGCCTGTTTAGTCCCTCTGTAAAGTAAATTCTCTTTATGCTTCTTTGAAGACTCCATTTCAAATTAAGAACGTTAAACCTTTAATGGCAGTGTTCTTTGCATCCTGGGTAGCACAGATGAAGGCGGCTTATGTGGGTGCAAAACTCTTATGAAAGAAAAATGTAACTTTAATTCATGTCATTAGTTTGGAAATGGAGATACTTAAAGTTGAGCAAAAATTGTCTAACAACTACAAAGCAAAGGGGAAAAAATGATTAAACACAATTCTTTCACCATAGATTCAATTCTCTATAATGGCAGAATAATCTTAAAAGTTACCAGATTTCAGTTTCTACTTTCTTGTGGTGGTTCTCTGTCTGTCACATTTTTTGCATGCTTTTCCTCTGGCATTTGCTAGAGCAGGACCAAAAATGAGCCCTCCCTGCCTGCCTCAGAATCTCTGAGGATGCTCTCCTGGCATTTCCTGGCCACGTTTCCACCAGAGTTCCTTCCTTTAAGCACCATCCGATCTCTCCCCTTCTGCTCGTGGCTCTGGGAGACTGGCTTAATGTGACTCCTGAAGCTGCAGGAAAAACTCTTCTGTTCCACTGGTTACACTCCATTAACATACCAACTTGGCACCCTCCTAGTCAGACTGAGGAACAGTTAGAAAAACACGAACTGCAGCCTTTGGCCTATTTTGGAAGGCTGTTTTATGTTTAGCATTAGCAGAGTGGAAATTAAACATTATTCTTCTAAAGCTGCACATTTTATAGAAGTTGGGTAAGGTGTCATTTCATAAGAGTTAGTGGGATTTTATATGGCTGAACTGTGTCCTAAGAATACAGGTCTAAAGAAAAGGATCATTCAATACAATACACAGAACCAGGGCTATTTTGGGGCAGGAACGCACAGGAACGGAGTTCCGGCTGGCTCCCAACTTGGCCACGCCCAGCAGGAACTCATTAGCATAATAGGCCACACCCAACAGCAGAAACTCATTAGGATTGGCTACATTAGGGGTGTGTGGCCTAACATGCAAAGGAGTTCCTGCTACAAAAAAGGCCCCAGGTTTTGACAACAAACAAGGTAAACAGAATAAAACGCAAAAGGTGGGTGTGGCTGGATAACCACACTTCTGGTAACATGTGGGTGCGGCCTAATGTGCTAATGAGCTGTGCTGTCAGGGATGTGGCCCAATATGCTAATGAGTTCCTGCTGTTGGGTGTGGCCTATTATGCTAATGAGTTCCTGCTGGGCTTTTTCTACAAAAAGAGCCCTGCACAGAACTATTAGGGTTTTCAAAAATGCAGAAAAGCACACATGTGTTCTTTACCTGCATAAGTTCAAATATTTCCTTTTTTGTGCTTTTGGGTTCCAGAAAGAATCCATATGGGTAAGAACACTTCAGGATGCGCCGGGTTTTCAGGAGTTCTTGGACTGCATCTTCAATGAATGTGGTATCTGGACAACGTCCCTCAGCTACAAGAGAAGATATAATATATACAGATATAAAGCTCTGGATTCAATGGTCCCCTTCCCAGGATTCTTTGCTGAAGAGCTATAAGAGAAGTCTAGGTATTACAAATAGAGTTTCCTCCCACCTGCTGATGTGATGACTGGTTTTATCAATAGAAGATACCAAACACTGAGTACTGAGTGTGCATAAAATTAGACTACTTCCTCAAACAAACTGCAATCTAAACTCCAAACAGGGAAAAAAACCCTCTTTAAATAACTCCATTGTTAGATTGCATCCACATTTCAAAGGCACACTGCTACAGACAATCTGAATTTGTTCTCCTTCCAACAAAGGCAGGAACTTAGCCTGCCTTTCTTGACCACTTTACCATGGAAGAGACTGACATTTAAAAAAGACAATTGTACAGTACCAAGAGCAGAAGTCAGTTTATAGTTGGACTGCTGTACATAAACCTTCTTTAACAACAATGGAACCTCCATGTTCAGAGGCAGTATATCCATGTATGGTGGGGGGACAAAGAGGGAAAGGAAATTGCTGGATCAAAACGGGGCCTGTGTTAGACCCCATTTTATTCCAGTATAGGCTTTTGTGTCCTAGAACCCACTTCTTCAGATGGAATACTTAATATAAAATATATATAAAATCTTTAAATAAGAATAACCCTAACCCTGCTGGCTCTTAATTAGATCACTGAAAAGGCCACTAAAATTTCTTGGGCCTGTGGAGTACAATCTCAAGGAAAGATGAGGGAAACTAAGGAGCAATCTGACATCAGCTTATCAAGAATGTCAGAGGGGAATATATGACATGGAAGATTTTTACCGCTTCAGTATATTTGGACAAAATATCACTGAGTCTTAAATAACAGAAAATACAAAGCCAACGATATATTTGCAGTATAATGCTGTATTAATTCTAGGTAAGCAAACCGAGTCAAACCAGGCTATCAAAATATTCAGTCTTGTATTTACAAAAGCAGACGCCAGAAATAATTGCTTTGTGAAAAGCTCTGATATAAGTATATTATACTAAAGCACCAGGAATATATCACAGAAAACACTGAAGCTCCTACTTCCACTGAGAGCTCTGCTCAGCTGCTCCATCTTTTCTTTGGCTGTTTTTAGAAGGCGTTGTTCTAACTAAAAACAACAGGAAAAACAAAGACGATGAGAATTTCTGAAATAACAAAACTGTAAAATAATTTTATGCAACTACAGTAACCGTACCTGATAGCTGAGCTCATGGTTTTTAAACCTTGTGTAATAGTGCATAAATCTATCAAGTTCTTGAAATCTTTTGTGTTTCTTTTCAGCCTGGAAAGAATGATAAGACATAAGAAGGGGAAGAAACCATTAACAACTTTCTGAGTTCTTTTCAATATACCGCTCATAAATAAAGCAAATGTGCATTTAATCATTTTAATTGCTAACAGCGTTTTATTCAAAAACAGCAGAATGACAAATACTCTATAGAGAAACCAGCCAGCTCAAACCATAGCTTCCACAATTCAGAAGTCAAAGACAGATGCTTGATGGTACTTTTATAGCAACTTTAAAACAGAGGAGCCCACAAGAACATTGTGAATCTCTGTTCAAGTGTATTTTAATCTGTGATGAGAAACCAGAACAACCAATACAGCCACTATCACAGAAGGACCAGGACAATGTAACTGTCCAAATTCAAAAAGGTGGCTTACAGCAACACTTCATCTCCTGAAGAAAATAGATGTATTTTCTAGTGCTTTGGTGGGCAACTCACAAAGTCATTTTCTGCGCCTCTCCCTCTCCTTGCTGTTAATTGTAATACTGCCCATGGGCCTTTGTGATCATCCCATTATCTCTTGAGGAGAGGAGGACATCTTATCCCAGTTGGGTATTCCCTTTCCCTGGAGGAAGGAAACAGGCTGCTCTTCCTGTCTCAGATGGGGAGGAAGCGCCCACCACCTTCAGTTCTCTTCCTGCCTCCTCTGTGACAGCAGAAATTCTTAGGAGCTTTACTGAATTTTTTCCCTCAGAGGCTGCTAGGATTTCATCTTCCTACTTCATCATGTGACTCTTCAGTCTCTCCTTTCTGCTCTTCTCTGTTTTTATTGCCATCTGGTTTCCCCGCCCCGCCCCCCGCCACTTCCCTCAGACACCACGGTGACTATCTACAGTCCAAACTGATAACAGAAGTGTCCGACACCAATGTGACCTTGGAGAAAGAGCTCAGTGTGGTGACTCCCCAGCTGTGAAGCAAGACAGCCCTGCTAGACTAGATGTCCTGCCATCCTAAAGTGGCAGAGCTCCAGGGGAGAACTGGAAGCCACGTCATCTCTGGCTCTAAGGATGAAGCAAAGCAGTCATTTTTGGTGCCAAAATCCTTGGTGTGTGATAGCAAATCCAGGGATGGCAAAAAAAAATATCTTCCAATCCTTGCAAAACCTGGCCCTGCTCTGGGGGGGTGGGGTGAGTGTTTAACATTTCAACGGCTGGGGGAGGACAGACAATTTCATTTGTGGCCAAGGAAATGGACAAAAAAGAGCAGGGACCCAGCAAGCTAGGAAGAGGTACAGCCACCCTGCCATCACTATGCTCCTACCCCACTAAATGTCAGAGGATGTGAAGGGTTTCACAGGCACTCACACACCAGGATCAGTCACTGTGTGTGTGTGTGTGGGGGGGGAGTATTTGTGAATTTCCTGCATCGTGCAGGGGGTTGGACTAGATGACCCTGGAGGGCCCTTCCAACTAAATGATTCTAAGGATCGGATCCACCAATGGTCTCCCTGGTACACCATTCTGCCCCATCAAGCACATATAATGATTCCTCTGCCCTCAGGTCTAACAACAGGACCTTCATAATTCAGTTGGAGGATTCCGATATGGAATCAGATAAGGAAAGAAGGGGAGGTTTTGGAGAATAACCTAACCTAACAGGATCAGCAGTCTTATTACCTCTTTTCATAGAGAAGCTTCTCCCTAAAGATTTTATACAAGGAAGACTCCCCTGAAATATTTTCCAGATATAAAGTTCTGGGCTCAATGTTCCCCTTCCAAGGGTTCTTTGTTGAAGAGATAAAAAAGAGTGGTTGGATCCCGTTAGTCAGCACTTCCACGTGGGACATGGACCAACCCCCACCCCACCCCCGGTTTTCACCAAGGCTACCAACTTGCTCATGATTCCTGTGGATGCTCCACTCACAGCATTAAGTTCATGAGAGGTTCTTACCAAACATGGGGAAGGATCATTAAAGGATGCCACGGACAGAAGAAGTGATGTACCCATTTCCCAGTGCCTCATCGAGAGACAGTGCAGCCTAGAAACCATAAACCATTCTTGGACACTGACATGATAATGTCTGTACTATCACATCAACGATTCTCTAGCATATACAGCATTGTTTTCACTGTCCATAAGAGAAAAGGAGACTGGAAGGGCCATCCTAAACTTCCAAGTTCTCAAAGAGTTCATAGGAAGTTCAAAACGAAGAACCCTGAAGAGTACTACGGGGGCTGTTCAGACAGGGCATCCTACCTACCTTCACATACCATTTTTTCCACTTCACAGACACCTTTCCAGATTCACCTTTGGGATACAACATTTGTAATTCAAGGTCATGCCTTTCTGCTTGGTGTCAGCTCTACACTTCTTCACCAAGCTAATGGTCTCTAGAGTAGCAGCTTTCCAAATCAGGGGCATTCACAGATGACCATCCAACATGCTTTTTTTAAACCAATTGCCAAAAAGGCCAACTCACTCCTGCACAATCCATTCTGCACCTGGAGGCAATCATATTCAGACAGCAGCAAACCTTTTCTCTCACTTGGGGAATGAAAAATGATAATTCAGGCAGCAAGACTGGTCTATTCATTCAAGACAGTGGATCTAGTGTTCCTGGCTCATCTGCACAGTTCAATGATTTCTCAAGTTTATTTATTTATTTATATTTATTTATTATTTACATTTTTATCCCGCCCTCCCCGGAGGCTCAGGGCGGCTAACAAGGCGTATTGCCGAATAAAACAATAACACCGTACAACATATTTAAAAATACATCACCATTAAAACACTTTTGGTGCTCCTCTCAACCAATTCCAAAATTACAATTTTGAAAAGCAAGATGGCCGTCCCCTAAACGTCCTGTTCTCACCCATGATGCAGCAATTATGGGGCGTTGATGGTACATGCCCACATCCTGATATCCATATATGGGGCATTGATGGTACATTGGTGCGTTGGTGGTACACTGGTGGCGGCGGCTCCTATTCGAAAGCCTGGCGGAAGAGCTCCGTCTTGCAGGCTCTGCGGAACTGTGCTAGGGGCCGCCGAGCCCTGATCTCCTCTGGGAGCTCATTCCACCAGATAGGAGCCACCACCGAGAACGCCCTATTCCTGGTCATGGTAAGTCTAATGTACCAGGGGCCTGGAACATCCAGTAGATGCTGATTCCCCGACCGTAGTGCCCTTGGGAGAACATGTGGGGCAAGGCGGTCCCTTAGGTAGGCTGGTCCCTGAGTTACGGTTCCCTGAATGACAGCCCACTCTCGGAGACTGCAATGGACCCTCCTGCCCTATCAGAAACCCACTGCCTTCAAGAAGCATCTAGTCAGTTCTAGGGACAAGATCTGAATTGGTGGATAATAAATCATCACCTTTAGAAGGACAAGCCATTCCAAGTGTCACCAAACCTAAATCACCACAGATGCCAGCCTCTTTGTTTGGGGAGTATACTATTCTTTAGGGTATGTACAAGGTTCCTGCAGTCAACAGAAAAATTCCTGGAGCATAAACTTCCTAGAGCGAAGAGCCATCTCCCTGATAGTTGAACATTTCCAAAACAATATTCAGCACCCAGACACCTGCATCAGAACAATTAAATATCACAGCCAAAGCACACATGAACAGACAACAAGAAACTGGGTCCAAAAACCTAAAATGGGAGTCAGCAACCATGTTCAATGGGGCAGAGAAACACCTCTCCTCTCTGAGGGAAGAACACATCAGTGGCTGATTGGACATATGCAGGCTGGCTCAGTCAGAGTCGAATGGACCAGGGGGAGTAGTCACTCATTCCAGAACTTTCAGACCCTGTCCCTTAGCCTTAGACATCCTCTAGATTTGTGGACCCCAATTTTACAGTACAAGGCTTAAAGTTCAGGCTGACGGAAAATGAAAAGCCAGGAAGGAAGACAACCAGAAATACCTTCATATAACTCCTCAATATCATTCTGCTTCTTACCTCTGCTGTCATTTCCTTGGATTGGTCCTCTACATGTTGAATCACTTCATAGCGAGTGCATCTATAATAACCTCCAGTGGAAGAACTATGTTTCTTCCATTCTTCCAAGCATATCCAACAGAAATCATATTTACACTTGAAAAGATAAAAGACAGATTCTTAATCAATTTCAGATTTTGTCCCTGGATCTAGAGCATTAACACAAGAGAAATAAAACATACTGTCTTCACAACCTAGCCACAATCCACAACCTTTCGGTATCACTGCTGTGAATTGTTTTAACAACTGTACTAAACTATGCTTTGAAACTTAGTTTCAAAAGAAAATTTAGCAACTACAGATTGAGTTGAGTAGTGCATCTTCTAAATCCATATGCATCAAAATGCCCTGTTGAAACAGTTCATCCACACAATTTGTTTAGAAATGTTCTATGAATTCTATCTATCTACACTTCACTTCAGCTTGAGTAATCATTCGTTTTGCAGCTATGTGGTGACCTCAACTGAGCAAAATATTTTCTGATATCTACAAAACATTCTGTGTTCAGAATTACAGGGAGATAAACGGACCTACATACATCAGACTGCACTTCCAATCAATACACTGGGAATACTTTGGGTGTTATATAGTAAGCACAGACACAATGCAAGTAAAGAAGCAGATTCTCACATTGAACGGTAATTAAATCAGCTAATCAGAGTGATGTACATGGTGAGTACCATTAGGCCTTTATTTTAAAATTCACAAAGTAAACTTTTAAAACATCTATGTATCTACTTCTGAACCAAGCCCATGAACGCAGATAAAAAAATCAGCACATTGGGGCCATGTACAGAAAGGACAGATGGGGGACTCCTCGGGTTTGCAGAAAACCCTTATATTAAAAAATAAAGGATGGGATTAAATAAAAGAAATATTTAAATACTAAATTCTTACAAAATTACTTCAAGAGCTTGGCAGCCATTCAGGATTGCTTAAATAACTGCACACAATATCACCACTGTTGTCTTTGACTGCTGAAATAATGAAAAATGATTGTCGCAGTTTTGACGCTTCAGGTGGGTAGGAGAAAGTAATGGGCAGACACGAAAAAGAAGAAGGAAAATCGGGAGGCAGGGAACAAAGCCATTGTGAAGGGAGGGAGGAAACACAAATTAAGTAAAGGAGGCAGAAGTATAGAAAGGGGAGAAGCTGCAAAGGGGAGTGAAGGAAGAACTGGAGATGAGAGAGTGAACAGATAGGTGGGAGGGAAGTAAAGGGCAAGGGGAGAAGCTGAGGAGAATCTGTGTTGGACAGAAGGAGTGAGAGCAGAGACAGTGTGGGAAAAAGGTTTAGCCATGGAGGGAGGAGATTCCCCACTGGTGAATCCTTGCAGGGATCCTGCTTGTACTTTATAAAAGCTGTAGGATTTTCTCCACGGTCGTTACCTTTGCACATTGCATATGGTTGCAGCCTTCATTCTTTTGAATTGGAGATTTGCAGTTGGCGCATGGTTTAGAATTGGTGAGTAACCATAAGCAGTTGGCAGCATCTTCATACGCTTCACTAACTCCCACAACTTTGAAGGAGAAAACAGAAAAGTTAAAACAGTCTTTTAAAAGCAAAAGTTACTACCATGTTTCCTAAATTCTTCTAAGACGGCTTATTTGTGCACTTTTTATAGCTAAGAAAGAATTTATTTTTATTCATAAACAATACAAAAATCGATAACAAAACAAATAGAAAGATCTGGATGATGAGAGTGCATAGTTAATTTCATTTGCCTCTGTTTGCAATAATTTTTTTTCTCATTCTAAACAGAGCAGTTAACATGCACACGGCAAAGCAAAACTGCATTTCAAACTTCCCATAATTTTTGGAAGTAACTTGTTCCTCAGATTAACTAAAACAATTTGTCAGCAAACCTACGAACACTAAACACTGAATAAAGTGGGTTGCACTTCTGAGTAGACCTTTTTAGAATTGCTCCCATGGTTACCCAATTCATTCCTTTGGCTCTTCGTTCTAACCCAGCGGTTCTCAAGCTGTGGGTCACGACCCCTTTGGGGGTTGAACGACCCTTTCACAGGGGTCGCCTAAGACCATCGGAAAACACAAATTTTCGATGGTCTTATGATAGCAACGAAAATAATTTTATGGTCGGGGGTCACCACAACATGAGGAACTGTATTAAAGGGTCGTGGCATTAGGAAGGTTCAGAACCACTGTTCTAACCTTAACAATTTAGGCCACATCACTTACATGATATTCACTATGCTCGACAAGTGACTAACACTGCAATTTTAAACGGAACTGCAGCTTTCTAAATCCACAGAATTCAAGGGGATCAGAAAGGTGTGGCTCTGCGTATGATCGCAATATAAAACAACACATTTTTTTGTTGTCAATGTTTTCACATTCAGAGTTTCAGCTTAACTGAAATCAGACATCTACAACCACAGTCTGTTGAAAACCTGGGACCACCCAGCCAATATCAATTCAAATCCTCTGCCTTTTACCCATGCATTATGCTTAGACAGTTTTAAGAAACTGGAGTTTTAAGAAACTGCACACACCTCTCTCCAGCTTGCTCACATTCTCTTAGGAGGTCAAGTTCTCTATTCTGGGAAATATGCCTCAGGGATTCCTACTTATATGCAGTAATCCTATCATCAGGGCTTTTTTTTTTTTTTTTAAAGAGGTGCCTGAACTCTCAAGAGGGAAATGAAGTTTTCAATCTGTACACTGAAAACTCATGAACTTTTAAACATTTAAAATAAAATTGTTGAAGAGGTTCTAGAATTCCGTTCCAGTGCATTCCCCCAGGGAAAAAAGCCCTGCCTATCATAGAGTATCATACTGTAACAATTGTACAAACTAAAACAAAAAAGACCACACTAGCCATTCTTACGCTCTTCAGGTTTCATTTCTGTTATCTTCTGCAGCCAATTCTTCCATGTTTCACAGTCACAAGGTTCATGTGCCTCACCAAGACATTCCCTGAAAAATTAAGCCCAATAAATACATCTGTTTATTATGAGGCTTCGAAAAGGGTGAAAACTGAACTCCTTCAATTCCACCTCAGACTATACATTTTAATTAAGGCAGGAAACTGAGGGTTTAAGAAATGAGATTTATTTTACCTACAACTCAAGGGAATTTTAGGTGCATAATTTCAACTAGTGTACTTTGAAGTTTCCCCCCATGTTTTAAAACTCTGAGTGCAGCTAGGCCTATACTTTGACTCGGCAATCAGCTGAATACTGATTGACATTTAGAGCATTCTGTATGTCTGACGCACATAAGAATGCAGACCAGCTACAAGGAATCAGGGTTCTCAAGTCTTATCCACTGTAGCTAAACTTCCTGCTTCATAGATTGCTGCAATAAAGCTTCCACTTTGCTGGCACCCCTCCCCAATCCTGGCAACTGAGACCAGCTTTTCTCTATCACAAGACCCAGAGCCATCTACAGCACAGAGCTGGGAGAGGATCAGGCATCATTCTGCATAATCTCATCATGCTCACTGGAAACAACTCAGAGAGTCTCAGAGAGAAAGAAGCTTCTTAGTTTACTAAGCCCCCTGATCCATTAATCAAGACCCCACAAAAATTAAACAAGGACCCCACAGTAATTAATCAAGGTATGTTTAGACACAAAGGATACTCTTTCATTAACTTCCTGCCAAGATAGTCTCCAAAAACTAAACTTACATTCACGTTTTCAAGTAAATTATTTTCAGAAAGTAGCCGTGTTGGTCTCCAGCAGAACAGCCAGATTCAACTCCAGTAGCACCGTAGAGACCAACAAGATTTTGGGATTATGCGCTTTTGAGAGTCAAAGGCTCCTATCTGCTGAACAGAGGTTTGACTCTCAAAAGCTCATACTCCTAAAACCTCGTTGGCCTCTGCCAAACCAGATCTAGCTATTCTCAGCTAAAAGGCTCTCCCTCCAATCATGAGGTGCCAGTTTCCCTCTAAACATCCCAGCTCCATGACACAACAAACATTGCCTCTCACACGCCTAGGACTCCCCCTCCTTCTGAATTATGCACAGCACCTAAGAATCCTCTCCTTTTCACCTCTGGCCGATCACAGAACATACTTGTTAGCTCACCTGGGATCATCATCCTCTTTCTCCAAGATGAAGAAAAAAAATAATCTTTTCTTTTCATTTAAACCCCAAATCCTATAACTGAGGCTAGAATCTACCTCAGACTCTGCTGGTTTCACCCCAAATACAGCTATTGAGACTTTCTGGATTCTGGTACATAATATATGCCTACATCTTTCCTCTGTTCTTTCTTCCTGAATTTATCTTTTGGATTAATGGTTTTACAGATGTTTGGGACCCTTGGGGGGGGGTTAGAGCCCAGCCTGAGATCTATGTACTTGGGTTACTGTTAGCACCTGCTTTTTGATCTTTTTGCCTTCCTTTTCTTGAATGACACATGCTGCACAGTGTGTGTGTGTGGCCTGCAGCAGAACAGCTGGACTCAACTCCAGTAGCACCTCAGAGACCAACAAGATTTTGGGATTATGAGTTTTGAGAGTCAAAGCATGTGTGGGGGGCATTTGGAATAGCTACATCTTAACACAGGCACTGTACTATTTGGAACTGCTATTGTATGCCTAATATTACCTGGACAAATGGAGTGTGCTAATTATTCCTATCACTAAAGCTCTCAGTACTTCTTCCAAATTTGTTAAACAGCTTTGCTACTTTGCTAAAGTGTCTCTGTCCAGATTAGGTATGTTTCTTTTAGAACCCAAGCTAGAAGGTAAGGCGACAAAGAAAGGACCAAACTGGTAAAAACCCTATGGATATAGATGTGTGCCTAAAACACTCGTGTCCAGACCACTCGCAGTAAGACCAGATATTATTATTTTAGGAAGGATGTTGACAAGCTCGAGCGTGTCCAGAAGAGGGCAACAAGGATGGTGAGAGGGTTGGAATCTGAGTCTTATGAGGAAAGGCTGAAAGAGTTGGGTATGTTTAGCCTGGGAAAGAGAAGGCTTAGAGGGGACATGATTGCAGTCTTCAAATATCTGAAGGGCTGTCACGTAGAAGATGGAGCAGATCTATTCTCTCTTGCTCTGGACTGCAAGACTAGATCTAATGGGTGGAAATTACAAGAGAGTCGATACCGGCTAAATATCAGGAGAAACTTCCTAACTGTAAGAGTGGTTGATCAGTGGAACAGACTGCCTCAGGAGGTGGTGGATGCTCCTTCACTGGACGTTTTCAACTCTAACATTCTATGATTCTATGTATGTTTACCTTTTCCAGAAATATCTGAAAAGACAGATTGGTTAGCATAAGCCTCCCTTTGCCATGTGAAGGACGGTATCCTGGACAAGTTAGGGTCAAAGTCGGCATAGGGCAAGCCTAGCCCTCTCTGTGTGCAAGACCAACAAGCCCAGACATGTACCCAGGATGGTCACTCTGACTCCTGCAGCCATCAATCTCCAGTACAGCCAGCACATAGCTGCCCTCCTACAAGGACTATGCCTTAATTTCAGCATCTCAAAAGATGACAGCATACCTGCATCCCAGCATTGTGTTTCACACCTGCACCTCTGGACTTTGCCCCTGATACTGAGGCCATCCTGGCCATGGTCTATTGTCACCATTGTTCCTGTGATAGCCCAGCCATTAATACAGCCAAGGCTATACAATGGCCGCATGCCTCACTAACAAAGGTTTCCCTTCCCAACCCGGGATTTTCTTTGTACAAAACCCCCTTTTGAGCCACTACTGGCCATCCCAGTCCATTTAGGCACAATTTTCCTATAACTAGGCTCCCAAACCAGCCATCTTTGGTTCAGTCTCCAGGATCCCCCATCACTTTTGGGTCTTCACAGATGTGCTCGCTGACCAAGCCGTCTGTTCTTCACTGGGGAATCTCCTCTTTGGAAAGCAGCTATTACCCTAAACGCTTCACCCTCTCTTGTCTCCGATTTCTTTAAGGTCACCTCAACCCTTTGTTTCTGAGCTCTTGTGTGTGTGGGTGTGTGAGATTTTTGCCAGTTAGCTGGATGTATTAGGGATATTTACTTAATAAATTTCTAAAAGTTATTTCCTGTCTGTCATCTGTGCTGCTCCGAGTGGGTTCTGACTCTGGTATAGCTGGAGGACGATCCCTAGCTTGTGCACTTGTTAAAGGTCTCTCAGCTACATTTCCCTATCATAAATAACACAGAGACCCAGTGTTACAGCTAACAGATGACCCAATGACAGAAGATCCTTTATAACACAGCTCCATATCCATTACCCAAGCTACCCCTCCCTGGTCAATACTAATTTTAGAAGAGGAGTTTAGAAAAACTCCCACCTTTGGTATTGACCTATAAGGCCTTGAGCCGCCAGGGACTGACATACCTACAGGACTGTCTCCTCCATTATGCCCCTGGGAGAGCGTTGTGCCCCTTAGACAGCAATCTGCTGGGGGTCCCCGAACCCAAGGACATCCAGCTGTCCTCAACCAGGTCCAGGGCCTTTTTGGTCCTGGCCCCAACTTGGTGGAAATCTCTGTGGGCCCTGTGGGATCTGATGCCATTCTGCAAGGACTTAGGTGGAGACATTCAACCAGGCTTTTGGTTGAGGACAGCGACGGTTCCATCTTGGCTGACACCCTCCTCTGTTATTTATATCTACCTCAATCTACCTCTACCCCCCCCCCCAGCCTGCGAAGTAGCCAGCAGTTGGAATTGGGACTGACTATTCACCATCTGATTGTGGGAATATTTTATTAATGTTTGAATTGATTTTATCTTGCTTCTGTTTTATCGATACTATACATCGCTAAGAGCCCTGGCATGGCAGGGATTGGGCGATGCATAAATACAATAAATAATAATAGGTGTTGTTATTGTTGTTATACTATCATCATTATCAAAGTTCTGTTCTGGCATAGGAGGAAGCACTTGAACAGAAACAAGAACCCAGCAAAACAGGCCACACGGGCAACTAGTGTAAAAGTTATGGATGAAGAGCCAATCTCAGAATGGAGAAAGTGTGGCAAGGGCCAAGAGGAGGCATCTTCAGTCAGCCTCCCTATGACAGGAAACCAATCTCTATATCAGATGGGAGGCAGGCTTTCTACAATAAATGATCCACATGATTTCTATAATATGTGATCTATAGCATGGGATCCATATTGTTAATTTCCCTATCTATGTACCCTTCCTCCATCTTCTTTACCATAAAATACA